AGCATATTAATATATTTGGTTAACAGTTACTAACTGTTGGGGCATCCCTGGTAGCCTAGGGTTAAGTCTTAATGATATCACCGCTATGACTGGAGTTCCATCCTTGGCCAGGGAGCTGACCCACGTGTGGCATAGCAGTCCTTCTCCTGTCTCACCCACTGTCCCCCCTCAGTAGTGTATCTCAGGAGATCTGCCTGTTCTGCTTCCCACTCTGTCTCTGGTGAATCCTCTCACCCCTTGCACTGTGTCCTATACCCCAGTTCTTATATGCAAAAAAAAAACCCCAAAAGCAGTTGCTAGCTGTTAACAGTGGTTATTTCAAAGCACGGTTGGGGTTATTAATTTATACCTTATACTTTCTTGTTTTATTAGAATATATTAATGAATAATATGAAAAAAATGTATTAGAAGCACAAGCAGTTCTTTTAGGATTAATAGGAAATGAAGTCTTTGAATCAACTTTAAGAAATAAGGCCTATCAATATAAATATTATTTTCTTTTATAATGAGTTTATATTACATTCATACTGGTAAAATGGAGATTAAATTGAAATTACTAACACTTTCAGGATGATGTTGAGATCATATTTATTAATTTCCTTCCAATTAACATCAAAAACAAGTGTATACTGATTTTTCGATGTCATTTATTCAGGCAACGCATCTCAAAATGGTTTTTGTGGTTTGGTAAAGAAACAGATACAGAAATTTGTTTATGAAATGAAACAAAAACTTTCCTTTTTAAGTTGTGCTTTATTAAAGGATAATTAAAGCATGATTCTCTCTGACTACCAAGATTATAGATTGTTATCAGTTATTTCCATTGTCTTCTTATCTCTTTTCTACGTTTTCCAAATTCTCCATAATAATCCTAAATTACTTTTGCAATCAGAAAAAGAGGCTCTTTTTTTTAAGGAAAAAAGTCAAAATAAAGTTAAGTGCCTATAAATTTAACACAATATATCCGATCTATATAAATCTGCCTGCACTTTCTAGAAGACATAAAATAGTTCTTTCTCGTAGTGACTGAAGTTTGCAGACTATTTACAAACTGGGACTAAATGAATTGTATTGTGGTCACGTTGGCCCCTACTTCTCTCTATTCAAAATCATGAAGCAAGGTCCATTAAGCATGCCTTGACAGGCAGCATTTAAAATGTCACTACTAAAATGACTATGCAGGCTTTTCAGCAGACTTCTATAGAACCACAAAGGTCAAAGAAAAGCTGACGGTTAGAAAAACTCCAGCCTTTTCCGCCTTCGTTAGCTAATGCTACATGGTATGCAGCAAATGCTTCAAGATTACGCAGAGAAGGCTTGAAAATACAGCTTTCTTGTGCTGTGTGATGAGAAAGAGAATATGAGATTGAAGAAGGCTTCTTCATGTCTTCATGAGGACTAAAACTTTAAAGGTTTTTATGTGATTAATGTTTTAACACAAAGGTTTTGAGACCCTTGCATCAAAATTACTAAGTAAATTCTAGGAGACATGCACTTGGTCCGACATCATATCATAATTATAGTGTGCTTTCAATCACCTGAAACCTTTCTGTGTTTTTTCATTTTAACTTCTAAACCTTGTAATATTTCTGACTCATTAGCTTTCACCCTAGGGGTAACTCACAAGCTCCATAAAAGTGTGGATATTTTTCTGAAATCTCTTTTCTACCAAGTGCTTTCACTTGCTTTTAACCTCAGAAAGTACATTTCCACAATGTACACAAGCAATTGAATAATTCTTGTCTCCCTCTTTTATAGGCAAAGACACAATGGAGCTCTAAGTTGAGAAGGGAGTTGGGAGCAGGATGGTGTTGGCACTTCAAGGCCAGAGTGCTCCAACCTTGGCCCAAGTGACAGTTTGGGCTGGATAATTCGTTCTTGTGCAGGGTTATTCTGTGCACTGTAGGGTGCTCCACAATATCTCTGCCTTCTACCTACTAGATGTCAGGAGTGCAGAGCTCAAATCTCCAAGCTGGCTCCAGACAGTGCCAATATATCCTAGTGGACAAAATGAACCCTGACTGACTATCATTGCACTAAACTAAGGAAATAAAAAACCAAGATTGTTGTGTCTTTGCCGATTCAGATTGTTCCTTTGATCTCATGGTTCACCTCTATCTACCTAGTCATCCACCAACACAAAATAGACACTCACAAATGCCTTGACATGTTGAAGAACTTAAAGCTATTTTTCTCTGAGCCCTGTGTGATCAGTTTAGCCAGTAGGAGAGAAGCCGACACTGTAAACTGTCTCCCACCCTCTACTTGCTTGGGTGTTTGTGATTATCATTTTAAATGTATGTAAGTTAACAATGTCTTGACTTCTGAGGCTTTAAATGCCCCCTGTTTCTTTATCTACAAACTACACTTTGCTCCACCCATGAATATTGTTTAAACTACAATTTTATTTAATTAAATATATTTATTCTGTCTTGCAATTGTTTATCTTATTTGGCACTTAAATATACAATTATGATCCAACTTCAAAATACTTATTTTCTGAAATTATCCTACTGCCTATTAATTAAAACTGGGGGAAGGGATTTAAGGAATAAAACACACACACACACAAACGCACACACATTTTCCCTAATGTATCCCACAACAAAGCAACACATATCACCTTCCATAAATTTTATTTTTATACCTCCTAATGTATTTGAGGAATTTTTTTTCTATCTATTCCAACTTGTCTGGTGTTTGAAGTACCAAGGAAAATAGGCCATGGGGGTGATTTTTCTCTATGGGAGAAGCTTTATTAATGAATGCTTCTCTAAGGAAAAACTCTAAAAACGTGGATCTACCATTATTAGAGGCATAAACTTGAGTAAGCACCTTAGTTTCTCACAACCTGTTTCATCTTTGGTAAAATGAGAATGACACTACCTTACCTTGCAGGGCTATTATATTGAATGACATATCTATTAAATTGTTAGCGCTATGCCTGGCATACTGGTGTCTTGTATGTCATTTTCTGTGCTACATCCTCCCTTTCTTGTTCCTGGCACTAGCTAAATAACTTGTGAGGTTCAGTGCAAAATGGAAATGCAAGTTTTCTTGTTCAAACATTGTTAAGAATTTCAAGCTATTAAACCAAGTGTGGGGCCCCTCTAAGTGTGGGGTCCTGTGTTACCACATAGGTTGCACACTCATAAAGCCAGTTCTGCTTACTCCCCTGGAAGTTTTAAGGTTCCACTTGTCTATCTTTCCATTAAAATGTACTTCTCAATTTGACAATTCACAGAGACAGACAAACAATTAACTAAAGAGGGCTAGATTATGTGCGCTGTTTTTCAATGCTAGTTCATTTTTATTCAAGCTCTTGAGGGTTAGTGAGCCTAGGGCTCTTATAAAGGTGCTGTTTCAATCTGCCATGGTATTTCAGAGGTTTATATCGTTTTGAACATGTTAGAATTAAACAGACCTTAGTTGTCTACAAGTAATTGGATTCAATGACAGACCAAGAGGTACTTAGTGGTCAAATAGGCACTTAATTCAAAAGCTCTTTATCTAGATTTCTCAAACAGCATTCACAAAACAGCAGAGCTCTTAATCAGTTTCTTAGATCCTAAACTTGGAGTCCAGTAGGGAATTGGTCCAGACATCTAAGAATAAAATACGCAAAGAAGACCTCATCTCCGAACCACTGAACCCCAGCTCTGCCTGTTATTCCTTCACCTCTATGGATGTATCAATATGTCCTTTAAAGGGTTTGACAAGTTTCTCACATACTATGTATAAGAACAGAATCAAGTAAAAAAACACAATGTGTGTGAATATATGTATATATAAGCTGTGACTATATTTTTATAAATTGCATGTGCAAATACACACACACACACAGGCACATTGTGCATTTTAATTGAAGGCAAAGAGCGTTAACATTTACTGACCACCTCTATCAGGCGTTTTGTATACACTGGGATATTAAAGTATGTGTTAGTTTTCATCCACTCATTGACTCCAAAGGCAGTCAAGACAATTTTATTTTTATACAGTGGAGAAACTTAAGCTCAGAGCAATTATGTAACCTGCACAGTCACATAGCAATTCGGAGATTTTTCTCTGATTCCAATGTTTCAAAATCCACTTCAGTTCAGTTGATTAAAAATTCTGACGTCCAATTTATCAGAGTCTCTATGAATCAAACAACAAACCAAACACAACCAACTAAGGTATTTCAATACATGAGACGCAAATAGGCGCCCCAGCAGTTCATCATACCAGTTTACACGTCCACCTTACTCATACTACGGATGTAATTTCTACCTTATACCCCTACCCCGTCACCATAAATCTTCGTCTAAGGGTTACCAATTATTTATATATATATATATATATACACACACACACACACTAGCTGGGGTATAGGCCAGAGGTGCGGGAGGGTGAGAGGATTCACCAGAGACAGAGTGGGGAGCAGAACAGACAAACTGAAGAAATCCACCGCTGAGGGGAAGCAGCGGGCGAGGCAGGAGAGGTCTGCCGCGCCATGTGGGTTGCTCCCTGGCCAGCCGGGAATCGAACCCGCGCTGCGGAGGCTGCGGACAGCTTCACAGTTTTACTAACAGTTGGTCGGGATAACAGACTGGCCCCTAAGCAAATGTAAAGGTTGAAATTTGTGGTGTGGGACGAGATTCCAAGACCTTAAGAAAAAAAAAAAAGAGCGTTTACGGCTGGCACCCCGCGCCCCAACACCGCCCTCAGGCGCGAACTCGCGACAACCCCCCCCAACCCCGCCATACGCGCACACGCACGCGCACACACACCCCCACACGCGCCCACGCGCACACGCGGGCCCGGGGCCGGTCGGCCGGAGCGCGCAGGCGCGAGCGCGCAGGCCGGGCCGTCTCCCGGACGCCGGGCGGAAGGGCCGGAAGCCGCGCGCGGCGGGGATGGAGGCGCGGGGGGTGGGGTCGCCGGAGGAAGGCGGCTGCGACGAGCGTGAGGACGCGGCCCGGGCCATGGAGCGGGCGGAGGCGGGGGCGGCGGGCGTCCTGCCGGGCGCGCCGCCGCCTGAGGAGCCCGGCGGCCGCCCTCTGTGTAAATGAGCTGGGCGGGGCGGGCGGAGGCCGGCGCGGCGGCGGGGGCCGTTGGGGCGCGGCCGTCCCGCCCCGTTCCCGGCGTCCGCGGCCCGCGCCGCCTGGCGCTTCCGGGCTCGGGCCGGCCCTGGGGCCGCCGCGCTCGGGGGAGGAGCAGGAGGGGGCGCGCTCGCGGGTGGGTCAGTGGCGGCCGGACGAAAGCTGAAGAGGCGCCCGGCGGTTTGGGGGTGCAGGAGCGGGGCGTCGGGGCGCCCCCCTCGGCAGGGCCTGGGTCTGGGCCCCGCCCGGGCGGGAAGGCGCGGCCCCGCTCGGAGCCCGGGGCGAGGCGGGTCTCAGTGGCCGCCTCCCGCCACCCGCCTCCGGCCCCTGGACCGTGCTTGCACCCCCAACTCGAGGTTTTGGGACCAGGACTCCCTGCCTCGGCCACCCTCCCCCCCCCCACTTTTTGTAGACTTCTGGAAAAACTCTAGATTTGCAAAGGTTAGCAACACTATATGGCACACTTGTCACCACTAAGAAATTAACCACTAAGAAATCCGGGTTTTGCCACTTTTTGCACATTTTTTGTTCCCTTGCATTTAGTCGGCCTTGTTTTTTGCTAATGTAGGAGCTGGAATCTGTCTCTTAACCCTTTCTTTGCTCCAACGTCCCTCTCCCCTTCCGCTCCCCAAAAGAACTACCTTTTTTTTTTTTTTTAATATTTATGCATACAAGAGCTGGGGTACAGGCCAGAGATTGGGGGGCAGTGAGAGGACACCAGCGACAGAGTGGGGAACAGAACAGGCAGATTGACTGAAATACACTGCTGAGGGGAGCAGCGGGCGAGTCAGGAGGGGTCTGCTGGGCCATGTGGGTAGCTCCCTGACTGGGGATCGAACTCGTGCTGCAGGGGCTGCGGATTACTTCAGGGTGATGTGTAACCCCTTGCACCACCAGGGAGGCTCTGAACTACCTTTTAAAAGCTAGGAAATACTTGAGTAAAGGGAGTATTTTTTGATAGTCTGTTATGTGCCAAACACTGTTCTAGTTACTAATATACAGCACTAAATCAGATCATCGTGCTGTCATACAGGAACTAAGTATAGTTCAGTGGGACCCCTGTATTTGTTTTCAGATTTATATCAGATTTTTTTTTTTTTTAAATTTAAGCACGTGCCACTTACACTAATTTTCAAGTTGGTGGCAAATCAGCATTTAAACTTTTTTGCATCTTTGGATTTACTCTAAATGTTACTTTTCCATGTGAAAGGATTAGCTCTTGTATCATCCATGGATTCCCTCCTCATGTTCATTGTTCTAAAGCAAAAAAAATGCAGTGCACGAAGAAATGTGAAGTAAACATAAATGAAGCCTTACTAGATGGATTTTTTCTCATATCTTAAGGAACAACCAATGGCTGAGAGGTGATAAAGCAACCTGAATCCTGAATGTGTTTTTGCATTTCTTTGCCTGTTGTACAGCAGTTCAAGATCAAGTGGTACCAACAGGAAGTTCTTCCTCCAGGATCATAGTGCACGTGGATCTGGATTGCTTTTATGCACAAGTAGAAATGATCACAAATCCAGAACTAAAGGGCAAACCTCTAGGTAATTCTGGACGTTGTTAGTGTTTTCACTGTATAATAGAATTTGCTACTCTTTGTGTTTGTTGTATTCTTATTAACCAATGAAGAAAGATCTTAGAAGCTAGTTCTTTAGGTGCTTTACAGACAGCAATCTTTGCACCACAGTTGTAAATTATACATAAAACCTCATTTAATAAAGGGTGAATTTGACACCAGTTTAGCCAACTGAACAGAAAGACCATGATGAACATTTTATCCTTTTCCCCAGTGTTTGAAATTCAATAAGCCTCTTGTCCCAACAACTTCTGTTACTACATTTTTGCTATACTGTTAAATATTCTATTTTTAAAAAGTTCTAATTTTTTATTGAGTTAACTGGATTACAACATTAACTCAGAGGCATTTTAATGGAAGCTTCCCTCTAGCCTCCCGTTTTGAATTTCACTCTTGATTTGTGTAACTTGTGACAAAGTAATTGGACTTTAAGCAGTCTTAAATATCAAGGCGTATAGAGCAAGCTTTCTGTGAAAACACAAGTATCTTTAAATAAAAGGCTAAGGGAAATTTTACATTGTTGACTTGTTTTTGACATTGTTATTCATAAATCGGAAAAATAATTTCCAGAATTCCAAATAATTAAAATTTCAAAAATTTCCTTTATGCATACAGTAAGGAATTTATTTTTTAGTGTAAACATGAGGCACACCTGCTGCTACCCTCTTGTGCCTACTTTGGTTTGATCAACCCCGGCTCATTTCAACTAGTTGATTACTAAAGAAAGAACAAAGAGATGATTAGTTTTGGCTATGCTAAGGTTAGTATAGAATCTTTAAACTTTGCTAAGAAAGTGTCAACAGTGTTAAGATTAGGGGACCTAAATTTTCTCCTGACTTCCCTTACTTAACATTGTAACAATACTCTGTAGATAATACTTAATAAAAAAGCACTGTGTAATTAAGACACACAACTGAAAGGAAGTGGAGAATGCTGTTTCTTGGAGAAAGCGAAAGTAGTCTTTCATTTATACTTAACAAATATATGACTACTTGCTGGCCATATATGGTAGTGAGTCAACATAAGTTAATTCTGCACTAAAAGACTATATGTTTGGCTAAGGAATTTACCAATCTTATTTTTAATGCAGTTCATTGATGAGTATTATGTTCTACCAAGAGATGCTCTTTTGAGGTATAATTTGATAGGTAAAAAAATGATGTGAAATAATGTTTCTTTGCCTTGTTTATAGTATCAATTTTAGAAACAATTGTTTTCCATTAGGGAATGGCCATAACTTTTTTCTCTTCTACAGGATTGTGTTTTAGATGAATGTTACTTTTATAGTGGACAGCAAGTAATCAACTTATAGAAAGAAACACGGATCATTGCAGCAATCGAGCCACCAGTAAACTAGAATTTTTATAGTCTATACAGTATCATAATTTAATCATGTTTGCTAAGGAGGGAACTTGGTGCCACCTCACTGTCAAATCTTTTCTACAGAGTACTATGAAGAATAATTCAATAATTATATTTATTAGAGAGAATCTTAGTAATTACTATAGTTTGGTACTTGTAACAGAACGTTGCTTATATTCATTGGATAGTTACTCAGAAGGGGAGTTTTTCTCAACAACTGGTACTTAATTGTACTTAATTTTCTTCATCTGCTTAAATTTTTTTTTTTTTTTTGGTAAAACGACCTAGATTTATATATGGCAATATATATTAACCTGGTTTTGTATTGTCTGTAAAAATTCCTGGAAGCATTTTATTTGTACTTCATCACTGAAGAATTTCATACAATAATGTTGACTTAGGGTAACTTTTTTTAACTCTAGAAATACATAAATTGTCTTTTGTATATGAAATAATCGATCCATATCTACCATGTCATAATTTTTACTATTCAGTTTAATAGTAAGTTTTTCTCTTCAAGTAGATAAAGCACTAAAGATTAAAAATGGCACTGGGAAAAATAATATGTTGGTGTCATAATTCATAGGTAGGAGGTAGCTTGAAAACTTTTTCTTTGCACTTCAGAGAATTTTGATACATGGAGTCTGTCCTTTTAAAATGAGATAGAGCTTTTTTATTCTTAGCAAAGTAGATTGTATTAAAACTTAAATTATGATTTTATAATTATATAATAAAAATACATTTTATAAAATGTATATTATAATTCAATTATAATTCATAACTAGTAAGTTATAAATAAAGATGTTAAAAGTGTGCCTCATTTTTCTCAATGTGTTTATTTTTTCATAGGAGTTCAGCAGAAATATTTGGTTGTTACCTGCAACTATGAAGCTAGGAAACTTGGAGTTAAGAAACTTATGAGTGTCAGAGATGCAAAAGAAAAGTGTCCACAGCTGGTATTAGTTAATGGAGAAGACTTGACTCGTTATAGAGAGATGTCATATAAGGTTACAGGTACAGAGTATATGCAATATACTTTTAACATTAATTTTTATATAGGATGCCTATTCAGTCCATCAGTCTTTTAATAAAAGTGAAATGCTATAAATTACTTTCTTTTTTCTAATAACTTTTTTATTTTAGGTCCTACCTGATTTTTCTTTTTGTTTTTACTTTAACATTTATCATTTTTAAAAATTTTTTAGACAATATTTGCTTCCCCCCACCCCCTCAGGTTGAGTCCCTTCCCCAAGGCACCCGTGCACCATCACTACAGTCCCCTGTGCTCCTCCCTCCCTCCCTCTGATCCCTCTCCCTCCTCCTCCCCTGCAGTATATCTGGTTTATAATTGTCTGTTTTTGCTTTGTTGTGTTTTGTACTGTTATTATTATTATTATTATTTTATGGGACCCTTGCCGGTGGCCGGGGAACGAACTGGCGCTGCAGAGGCTGCGGGCAGCCTCACAGCCCAGCGCTCAACCGCTGCGCCACCAGGGGAGGCCCTGCATGATTTTTTTTTTAAAGATTTATTTTACTTATACAAGAATCGGGGTACAGGCCAGATGCGCAGGAGGGTGAGAGGATTCACCAGAGACAGAGTGGAGAACAGAACAGGCAGACTGATAAAATACACTGCTGAGGGGAGCAGTGGGCAAGACAGGAGAGGTCTGCTGCGCAATGTGGGTTGCTCCGAGGCCGGTGGGGATCGAACCCGCACTGCAGAGGCTGGGGACAGCTCCACAGCGCTGCGCTCAACCACCTGTGCCACCAGGGAGGCCCCTACCTGATTTTTAAAAACAGTGTATAATAGGATGATTATGTGTTACAAGTGATGTTAGCAAATATGTAGTTGGAAGGAATTTCAACTCTGTCATGATGGGTGTTTATATAAATATGAGGGAAAAAAGTAAAATAAAATTTAAGAGAGAAAATGGGAAGATAATACCATAAAGGAAACCAATATTTTTAATTTTGAATTTAACTGCCATGTTTATATAAAACTTTAGGAATGGGTTAAATGATTTGTCCTTGTGACCTAGTAATAGAGTCAATATCACCAATCAATAGTCAGTGATCCTCCACCTTTGCCCATGATTCTGTATTTAACTTGCTTTTCTTCTTAGTATTTAAAACCCTGTCCTTTTTTTTTTTTCCTATACAGCATTGCTTATATAAGCTTTTATTTTCTGCATGTTATACATCAGGTATATACATTGGGGGAAAAGTTGCAGAAATTGATGAGGGAAATGCAAAATAATCTTTTTATATGATCTTTTTACATTATCAGTCTCTCCTTAGAAAAGATTTTTTGTTGGGCCTCCCCTGGTGGTGCAGCTGTTGAGCGCTGGGCTGTGAAGTTGCCCGCAGCCTCTGCAGCACCGGTTCAATCCCTGGCCAGGGGATGAGGGTCCCACATGGTGCGTAGACCTCTCCTGCCGTGCCCGCTGCTCCCCTCAGCAGTGAATTTTATCAGTCTGCCTGTTCTGTTCCCCACTCTGGCTCTGGTGAATTCTCTCACCCTCCTGCGCTTCTGACTGTACCCAGTGCTTGTATGAATAAATAAATAAATACATTTTTTTTTTAAATTTTAAAAAAAGATTATTTTTTTTTTTCTTGCTATGTTGGAAGTGATTTTCGATGGTCACCAGGTCACATTATTATCTAATAAAAAGTTAATAATTGTTTTCTGCCATCTAGCTGGTATCAATAGATGGTTAAGAGAAATTCTCTGTGATTTCAAAGCTATTATTAGTCTTCAATCCTAAAAATGAGAATTGATAATCCTGAATTTATTTCAAATCTTAGTTCAGTTCCACTTAGTAAACACTTGATTTAAGGACTAGATATTGTGCTAGATGCTGGATATTCATATCTTCTAAGTCCCATTCCATCACTGTCTTCGTGTAATAAGCCAGAGGAATAATTAATCAAAATTTTGCTTTATAGTATATTTTGAAAATTAAGTGACCTTTTTGACTCAGTACTAATTGGAACTTTTAAAGTTTGTTTTGCCTTTTAAAAACTCTTGTGGAAAATGCAGTCAGAATATTTGTTGCTTGTTTTTACTCTTACTGTCCGGGGAATATCATTTTGAACTTTCTTTGTTGGGAAATATTGCCTTTACTCAAAATATGATGCAGGAAAAAAAATTTCTCAGCTAACTGAGGACTTTATTTAAAGATACTGTGGGACTGTGATCATGCACAAAACCTTTAACAACATATTGTATCTTTAAGCAAAAAATAGCGACGTCTGTCCTCATGATAACTTCAGTTGCATTTGTGCTCCAATATTATTTCAACTTAGAGTTGTTGGAAGAATTCAGTCCCGTTGTTGAGAGACTTGGATTTGATGAAAATTTTGTGGATCTGACAGAAGTGGTTGAGAAGAGACTACAGCAGTTTCAAAGCAATGAACTTTCAGCCATGACTGTGTCAGGTCATGTATACAATAATCAGTGTAAGTAAATTCTTATTTTACTTAGCACCTGAAAGTACATTTATTTCTTAATGTTCAGTGAATTGACCGTCTTTCTGAAAGCTTTTGACTTTTGTTAGCAGTATGGCCACTTTTAAGTAATCTGAAATTACTATAAATAAGTGTGGCTATGTTGTACTAAGTGTGCAGAAGATGAGATTTTGATGACAAGTCGCTCAGTGCTCCATGCAGTTTGCATTTCTCTGACATAGTTCATGTGTCACCATTTTTAAGGGTCGTCTTACTTTAGGTCATCCTTTAGTTAAGGGGTTGGCTTGATAATATGCATTTTATAATAAGCTTTGATTTTCCTAGAACTATCTCAAAGTGAAATTTTGAGACTGGCTACATTTGCCCCTGTTGCCCCTTTTCCTTGTTTCCTTTGATTGTCCTGAGGCACCAAAACCTACATGTTACCCTTTGATTTCCCAGTTTATACCTCCTGGAAGTCCAGGCCTAAGCGCCATCGTTTGCAAGCTCATGTTTAATCAGTTTCAGTAACTTTGCCATCTCTTTTACAAGAAAGCAGAATGGTTCCTCTCCTTCACATATTAAGATATGAATGGATAATTGTGTTTCCAGGGCTATTTGCTTTTGAAAATAAGCTGCAATAAGTACCTGTAAATATTTAATTAGACTCTTGAAACTTCTTCTGACTCTGCTGGTGACTTCCATGCCACACTACAGAGAAGACAAGCTACTTTGATTTTCTGTAAGAGTTGCCCTGACCCTCTTGCTGTTCCTTGGTCTCAGCTTCCTCATTTTCCCCCTTTTGAGAGTTGATGACCGATCTCCAGGGTAGTGCTCCACTTCCCTGATATTAAAGAAGAAAAAGAGTAGAATTACATTTCTCTTCAGAAGAAGTCATGAAGTTTCTCATATGTCTTTTGTACCTTGTGCTCTTTTGTCACTTGCAGGGTCTAAGTAGAAAAAGGTTCCATATATGTTTTTATATAATTTTTCAAGCAAATTCAAATTTCATTGGTTGGAAAATATTATAGAGAGCTAGGTTTCATTGCCTAAAAAGAAAATATTCAAGGCCTCCCTAGTGGTACAGGGGGTTAAGCACCGCACTGTGAAGCAATCCGCAGCCTCTGCAGCAGAAGTTCAATCCCCGGCTGGCCAGAGAGAAACCCACATGGCAAAGCAGACCTCTCCTGACTCGCCCACTGCTCCCCTCAGCAGTGTATTTCAGTCAGTCTGCCTGTTCTGTTCTCCACTCTGTCTCTGGTGAATCCTCTCACGCCCCACATCTCTGGCCTGTGCCCCGGCTCTTGTATGCATAAATAAATAAATCTTTTTAAAAAAAAAGAAAAAGAAAATATCCAATTCTTCATGAATTCTTCCCCTTTCCCACAAGCTTTTATTAAATTTTTTTCCCCAGAGCTATTGAAAAGTTGTCTGAATGGTACAGTAAACACTTATTATGATCTTCTTGGTAGTTTGCCACATTTGTTCTGTTTTGCTCTTTGTAGATTGGTTGACTGATCAGAGCCACTTGAAAGTAAGTTGCAGACAACATGACACTGCATCCCTAATATTCTTGTGGATAAAGGCTGTTTCCTATGACATCCCAATACTATTTTCACACCTAAGAAAATGTTTTTATATACTTTCCCTATACTTTTCATAAAAAATCTCTTAAATTATGTACAAATTTGTAATTATTTTCAATAGCATATATTTTTAGGGTGTAAAGTTTAGATTCAGATCTTTAAAACTGTAATCTTAGCTCCTTATTAATATAATACTTTCTTTATTCCCATGAACAGGTGAGCATGAGTAAAAGTTTTACTAATGTCAGTAGAAATTTTCTATGAGAGATTAGTTTTCATAATCTGTTAATCATTAAGCACTCCCAGTATGCATTCACTGTCACAGGTCCTTGGAATTCACTTGTGGCAGTTTACAGAATTGTGAATGAAAAAGATTAGAGAAATAGGTGGCAGGATGGTGGTGTTAGTGTTGGTCAGTTAAACCGGTACCCTTTGAAAATGCATTTGTAGAAAAGAAAAGAAAATTAAATTTTTTTGTGATTACTTTTAACAGCATTCTCTGATTTTATAGCTGTAAACCTGCGTGACATCTTGCACATCAGACTACTTATTGGATCTCAGATTGCAGCAGAGATGAGGGAAGCCATGCATAATCAGTTGGGTCTCACTGGCTGTGCTGGAGTGGCTTCTAATAAACTATTGGCAAAATTAGTCTCTGGCGTCTTTAAACCAAATCAACAAACAGTCTTACTACCTGAAAGTTCTCAAGATCTTATTCATAGTTTGAATCACATTAAGGAAATGCCAGGTAAAACAAGTAATTAGAAAAATATACATTGATTTTATTATATTTAATTTTAAAAACTATAGATACATGTCATTAATTCTATGAGCCTGTGTACTTGACTTTTGGTGAAAGCAAATAAACAAAAACCTGTCTTTTGGAGGGAATTGATATTAGAAAATATATGAAAGCTTTTTCAGTTTCATCTACTTTTTTATAGTTTGATTATGATCATGAAAATTACAAGCTGGAAACGTGGTCCTTTATTTCCCATCGTGGTTCATACTCTCATACAGTACACTATAGTAAAGAGGACAGTTGGTCTTTTGGGATTATATTTAAAATATCACAACTACAAGGGACATTCTAAAGCTTCTGGGCCAAGCTTTTATTTTAAAGATAAGGAAACTGATTTTCTTGAGGGCTTCAGTGACCTATTTGGATCATTTATCTTTAAAGATCAAATGAGTTTTCATAGACCATCAATAATGGATCTGTTAAACTTCATTTCTATGACCGTGCTAGAGAATAACATGTTTTAATAGAATTCTGTGGAAATGACTTCAAGACAACTAAAATTTAACCTTTAGATGTCATAACTTTTAACCCATGTTTGTGATTCTAAAATGTGTTATACATTGCCTTTCCTTCCTTAATAGAGTACAGTTGTAATTTGAATATTTTTGGATGATTTTGTGACTGATCTAAGAACAATCACTATGCGAAGTTGTAAAAAAAATTAAGGACTGTATTCTAAGACATAACATTATTACTTGGCCTTACTTTTTGAGTCCTTACATTTTTTATTTTGCAGGCTTTCTATTTTCTTTTTTATTGCCAAGTTGACACCTCACTTTTAAGTTAAATGTGAAAATACCTGTCACTCCACAGGTAATTTAGTAATTCCCCCTACACCTGCATTGCCTTTGCTTTACTACTTTTATTGTGCAAGGAAATCAGAATTAATTTTTCAAAAATTAGAGAATCAAAGGACATTAAATTGCCTGAGTATTTCTCCTATGATCAAGTGTGACTGAATTGTAGTGCAACAACTTTGTGATAGGAGTTTTGGTAATAAGAAGAATTTCTATTGATTTACTTTCTAGCTCTTGTTTGTATTAGAGATGGTAAAATTTGGTACTTATGACTTATAGATAAATGTGTAGTGTTGTATATAGGAATCAAGTTAGCTAATAAGCACATGCTAATTTAATTTTTCTAGTGACAGGCTTTCTTTACATGAGTAATAAACATGATTCTTAAATACTTGCATAGTGTTACATAACGTAGTAAAACACTCAGTTTATAAGACAGCATTTACTGGTTACCTCCATATTCATGCTATTTTACTAGGGTTGTTAGGTTTTCAAAGTGGATCATACAACACAGAGGCCTTGAATAGTAGGACAATAACCTAATTTGCAGAAAAGTTGGAATGTAGCAAAATATTGTGAAATTTAAGAACACATTATAATATTTCGGTTAGCTCTGTTATCAGAAGAAAAGCCTTTGTAATACTCTATGCATTTCTTTTTGCTTAGGTATTGGCTATAAAACTGCTAAACGTCTTGAAGCCCTGGGTATAAGTAGTGTGCATGATCTTCAGATCTTTCCATCTAAAACGTTAGAAAAGGAATTAGGAATTTCAGTTGCTCAGCGCATCCAGAAGCTCAGTTTTGGAGAGGATAACTCTTCTGTGATGCCCTCAGGACCACCTCAGGTATGTGCTAATATTTATTTTAAATGAGTACTGATTGTCACATTGTTTTATTTTATTTTTATTTTTATTTTTCAAAAAAGATTTATTTATTTATTTATACAAGCACTGGGTACAGTCAGAAGCGCAGGAAGGTGAGAGAATTCACCAGAGCCAGAGCGGGGAACAGAATAGGCAGACTGACAAAATACACCGCTGAGGGGAGCAGCGGGCATGGCAGGAGAGGTCTGTGTGCCATATGGGACCCTCGCTGGCGGCCGGGGATCTAACCGGTGCTGCAGAGGCTGCGGGCAGCTTCACAGCCTATCTCTCAACTGCTGTGTCACCAGGGGAGGCCCTGTCACATTATTTTAGATAAAGATTTTAGCTTCAGCACTTTGTTCTTACATATTTTAACAATTTTGGAAATTGAGAAAAGTATAATCACCCAGTTAGCACTGGTTTTGTTCCCTATGTGAGGGGCACTTTAGTAAGAGCTTTATATATACATATTTAGTATCTCTATTAGCCCATTCATTCCTCACTACAAACCTTTGAGGTAGATAGTATCCCCTGCCCGCCTTTCCTTCTCCCTGTATTCCCTTTTTTGAAGATAAGGATTCTGTATTTTAGAAAGGTTATATAACTTGCCCCAAATCATACTCAGATGCAAGTCCTAAGAGATTAAGTGTCTCACTAACCATGCACTAAAACCTGGAGTTGATGTTAGAGCTTTATAATTTTCTTGACTTCCAGTGCACTTTCTAGTGGAGTACAATAAGTTGCAGATTAGAAGAGTTAATATAACAGTGAACTAAATGCCTCAATCTAAGCAATTGAGGTAAGTTAGTAAAGAATGTGTTAAATTTATTTGACATACACATTGAAAATTGAATACACTAGTTTGAGTTTGCAATAATCCTTATTTGTGTTTCTTTGGTAGTCCTTTAGTGAAGAGGAGTCATTTAAAAAATGTTCATCAGAGGTTGAAGCTAAAAATAAGATTGAAGAACTACTTGCTAGTCTTTTGAACAGGTGATTTTTCCATTTTGCCATATAATTCTATATGTTCTTTATACATAAGAATATTTGACACTTTGCCTTGCAATTTTCAGATTAGCTGGAAACTAAACAGTGTTAAGATCATTTCTCACTAAATTTCTCTACATTATAAACTATTGTAAAGATAGTGATAGAGGCTCTTTTATTTTTTTAATTGTATTATCTCTTATTGAGGTAACATTTGTTTACAACACTGTATGTGACTTACAGGCTTAGGGTCACACCTTGTAAGATATGTGTTACCACACCACACTCACCTCTAAACACCTCCACCCTAGGCCAGTGACCTCCCTTCCCCACCTTGATGCTCACACTCCACTCCCTCCTCTGGTGCTCTCAATGCTGCAGTCAGATGTCAAGGTTTTGTTTGGTTAAGTTTAGTCTGTTCCTTTGTTTTGTTCACTCTTATATTCCATATATGAGTGAAATCATCTAATACTTGTCTTTCTCCTTCTCACTTGTTTTGCTAAGCATAATCCCCTCCAGTTCCATCCATATTCTTGCAAATGGTAAGAATTCATCTTATTTTTTTTAATAGCTGAGTAGTGCTCCATTGTGTGTGTGTGTATATATATATACCACATCATCTTAGCTCACTCATCTGTCCCTAGGCACTTAGGTTGTTTCCCTAACTTGTCTATTATAAATAATGCTGTATTGAAATTAATGCATTAATCCCTTTGAATTAGTATTCCTGCATTTTTCAGATAGATACTAATGAGTGGAATTGCTGGGTCACCTGAAAACTCCATTTTTAACATTTTAAGAATTCCCCCAGGCTGTTTTCATTAGGGGCTGGACCAGTCTACACTCCCTCTAACATTGTGTGAGGGATCCTTTTTCTCTACACCCTAACCGACATTTGTTTCTGGGCTTTCTGATAAGGGCCATTCTCATAGGTGGGTGATGTATCTCATTGTGGTTTTGATTTGCATTTCCCCAGTAGGTGATGATGAGCAGTTTTTCATGTGCTTGTTGACCATCTGTATGTCATCTTTGGAGAGGTGTCCAACTCTTCTGTCCATTTTTTTGGTCTAGATTTATTTTCTTACATCATTTATTTTTGTATTGTAATTGTAACTACATCTCACCTCAGATGTAGTCCCCATAGTTCCACCCCCATAGCACCCAAAATCCATCACCATATTCCCTTGTGCTCTTCCTTCCCACCCCTGTTTTGACCCCTCTCCCTCCACCTCCCTTGCTGTATGCCTCAGATCAATGGTGAGCTTGAAAATTTTGTCTTTTTATTGAACTTTTGTTTGGTTTTGCTGTATTCCACATGTAAGTGAAACCATCCAATATTTATCTTTTTTGTTCAGTCTTATTTTGCTTAGCATAATGACTTCCAGTTCCATCCATGTTGCTGCAAATAGCATGAGTTTGTCTTTTTTGACCATCGAGTATTCCACTGTGTATATATACCACAGCTTTTGGATCCATTTGTCTGTTTGGGGGAATTTGGGTTGTTGTTTACATTTCTGTTTATTTCTTAATTGTGTTTTGTCTTTTCTTATATCTTGGATATTAACACCTTGTCACATATATGATATGTAAATACCTTTCATTTAACATGGTGTTTTTTCATTTAAGAATAGTTTCACTGCGCAGAAGCATTTTTTGTTTTACATATTCCCACTTGTTTATTTTTGCTTCCTTTGGAGTCAAATTCCCAAAGATATTGCTGTGAAGACATTATCATGGAGTGTTTTTCCTGTTTCGTTCTATGTATTTCATGGTTTCAGGTCTCACATCCAAGTCTTTAACCTATTTTTCATTTAATTTTTATGTATAGTGTGAGGTAGTAATCCCCTACTACTGGTATTTCTAGATTTGTTAATTGTTGCCTTATATATTTTGATGTTCCTTTGCGCATATATTGATGTGTCATGTCTTCTATCTTTATTGAGCCTTTAATCATTGTATATGTCCATCCATGTCTCTTGTTTTCCTTTTCAGCTGGAAGTCTATTTTATCCGATGTGATTGTCCATGCCTGTCTCATTTTTCTTGTTAGACTGTTTTCCAGCCATTTATTTGGAACCTTTGTCTATCTTTGTAGCTCAGATAGGAGAAAGTTGGGTTTTGTTTCTGTGCCTTTTAACCAGCCACTCTGTGCCATTTATTAAGGGTGATTTATTGATACATGAGAATTTGCAGCTGCCAATGTTATAGGCTTCTAATTTAATCCATCTCTTCTTTTGGTCTTAATTTTGATAACATGCATGTACATAGATCTTAAGCTACTGATAGCTACCACAAGGCTTTTTATGGATACCTCTAGTATACCTGTATCTATTTTAGTTCATTGAAAAGAAAGAAGTTTTATTTTTTTCCCAGTGTCAGTTTAAGACTTTGTCTTTAATCTAATAGTTACTTGCTTTTAATTAATGAAAAAAAGGTAAAGAGGAGTTATAGTTCTAAAGCTTGCCATAGTCATAAGTTTATGTACATGGGTGATGGTTAAAGAGAGGAAATTATTAAGGACAGCAACGATGGTGAGAGCAGAAGAACGCTTATATCTCCTTTGCCTCAGACTTGGTGAAAGAAATACTGTCAGATGAAGGGACAGTTATGTGAGGCTGTGTGTGCAGTGAGAGTGATAGTGGAGTGTGCAGGGTTGCTGATCTATAAATACATGAATAGTGTCGACTTGGATTATGAGTGTATGAATAGTGTGGCATAAATGAAAGAAGATATTTAATTTTCTGATACTCCTTTGCCATCATATATGTGTGAGTTTGTGTGTATTCTAGTATTCTATTGAAGAGTATTTTCTTTCATTTCTTTGATTTTTCAAAATGGTATATGACGTGTTTAGCAATTTAGGTAAGTGTGCTTCTGTGATGATGCTAGGATAGTTAGCTGTGACTACAGCTTTGGGATAATTTTAAGTATCAGAAAACTGATGAAGGAAATTTCCTACAATTCCCATGCAGTCTGGTTCTCATGCCCTGAGCAGAGCTACGCTGCCCATGTTTGCTGCATGCAGCTGGGGCGACTGTGATCCAGGTCCAGTGATGTGACTCAGGCTGGCCCTACGAGTGTGCTGATGAAACTGGGTCATTTGGTTCGCTTCAGCTTATTATAAAACTACTACAAAATGCCTCACCATTGGAAACAGTTCTGCATGTAGCGAAACCACAGGAAGTATAGGTGTTATGGGTTCTCTTACTGAAAGACCCAGAAGTGAGACTGTGTGCTCTAAACTTGTGAAGTACCATTTACTGTCCTTATTTCTGCTTGACATCCCTCTTTTATGAAGAGCCCCTTATTTCAGTGACTGAGGTATAAAATAATCTAATTTACTAGCCAAAAAATTATTGTATATATGTGTTTGACTTATAGAGTATATAATTAATAATATAGGTATGTAAGAGGTGTAAAATATAATTTTTAAGCCATTTTCCAGCAGTAGTATAAGATTCATAGAATATAGCTTTTTTTCCCCAAATATCCTAATTAGATATAAGTACCAAGTTACACCCTTTTAATTGCATAACTTAATAAACCAAGCTGAAAGTTATTCAAATATGTTTATAGGAACCATTTAAGATATTTCATTATCTTACTAAAGCAGCAAATGAAAAGTTTTGTGATAAGGCATTAAGAGAAAAAAAGTATTCACTATCAATACCTAAAATTTCCAATTCAAAATTTTCAATTTGAGTATACTTAACAATTTAAAATTTATATTTTACCATTGTGATATTTTTGATACATTGCCAAACATGTAAAAATGAAAATGTTACTATTTAATGACATTTAATTGCTCTAGTAAATAGGTTTCTTCTTTTTGTGTGAATTTTCAATTTTCTTATAGCTTTTGTTTTTAATACCAAAATTAAGAGCACTTGGATGGACTGCTTTGTACAATACATGTCCATGAGCTTATTTTTCTAAATATAGTATATAGTGCATGTGTATATATCCTTTACAGTTTTATACAGTTGAGCATTCAAGTTATTGCTCTAATATACTATGTAATGGTGATGGCACCGACTCTCTCAGATTTATTTGGGGAGTGTTGTTTTACCACAGTAATCCTGTTACGATGTTTTTTTCTTTGTGTAATCTTATTTTATAAAAATATCTTCTGTCAGTTTTCATATATTTGCTTCTATCAGTGAATAATTCAGCTTCTTAAGTTTACTGCTATTGTTTTTATATGCTTTTAGTTTGGACTTGGTTTATTTTGGACTTGGTTTATTTTGGACTTGGTTTATAAAACAGCTTGTTATAATTATGCCTTATTTCTGTTCTTTTTTTGATAGCACTCAATTTGCTTAAGGTCTGAGAGCTTTGCAAATTAAAATTTCAGAGTTTTATTATATAGACTAATTTGGGCTATTCTAGGGTTTTTATTGGTTACTGCCCTATTACCAACTGTATTTAGAATTGTTATCAAATCTGGCACCTTTAATATTTCTAAACTATTAAAAAAAAATCTTTCCACATTCTCTGTTTTTAGAGTATGCCAAGATGGAAGGAAGCCACATACAATAAGATTAACAATCCGTCGATATACATCTGAGAAACACTGTAGCCGTGAGAGTCGGCAGTGCCCTATTCCATCCCATATAATTCAGAAGTTAGGGACAGGTATGGTTTAATTTTCTTATAATTTTGTTGACAAGTTGAACTCTTATGAAAACAAACTTTGACTTAGAAATACCATCCAAAGATGGAGGGTCTTCAGAGGGAGTTAGTGAGCTATTTTTTTTAAATATTTATTTTTATTTATTTATTTATTTATGCATGCAAGAACTGGGTTGTAAGCCAGAGGTGCCAGGGTTGAGAGGATTCACTAGAGACAGAGTGGGGAGCAGAACAGGCAGATCTACTGAAATACACTGCTGAGGGAAGCAGCGGGTGAGAATGGAGAGGTCTGCTGTACCATGTTGGTCAGCCGGGGATTGAACTCCTGCCGCAGTGGCTGGTGATAGCTTGATAGCGCTGAGACTTTAACCCTTCTGCCACCAGGGATACTGATGAGTTATTAAATATCTTTAAACTATCAGTAATTGTCACTAGAAAACTTCAGTTTTTTAGTAGATAGTAAAAGTAAGCAGTTATGGATGTTTCCAAAGTTTAGAGAAAACAAAACTATGATAATTTTATGTCATTTTCTTACGACTATTTAGATTGCTTCCTTAGTTTGACTGTTACATAAAATGGTGAACATTTGCATACTACTTAGAGATTTTGTAGTTTTAAGCTTTTTGTTTTCTATCCCATGTTTAGTTATTTTTTGTTGTATAAAGTAAGAATCTTACTACATTTGTGTGTGCTTGTGTCTAATTGATCATGCAGAATTTGTTGAAACGACTATTTTCTCTCCCTGTTGAAATATCTCATGGCATCTCTGTCAAAAACTAATCATGAGGAGAATTTATTTAGTCCCTCTTTGGTTATTTGTTTTCCAGATCTCTACTTAATTTTTTGGTTGGTCCACGATCTTTCACTCACTCCAGCCTCAACTGCATTTTCATTCTAGAGAGCGATGTGATTTCCCTGTGTTTCCTACCAAGTTTGTTCATTTTATTGGCAGCACCGCTGAGTGTGTACTGTTGCCCTCTGCCTCAGATCAGGCCCTTCCTCTCTGCCAGTAAATTTGCTGGCTTTCAGCAGCCTCGCAGAGTTTAGAACTACTGTACCACCTGAGCTGTGTAAAGGGAAATGCCAACAGTTCCTACCAGTACGGTTGCTGTCTCCCACTTTCCTACTTAAGTTCTACCAGCTTTTCACAAATCATTGCTTCTCACTTTGTCTTTGACTCATTTCCAGATTCTCAAAATAATTGTTTTTGACAATATCATTCAATTTTATTTCTTTTTTTATTTTTAAAGATTTATTTATTTATTTATACAAGCACTGGGTACAGTCAGAGGGACCCTCGCTGGTGGCTGGGGATCAAACCAGTGCTGCGGAGGCCGCGGGTATTTTCACAACCCAGCGCCACTCAACCTCTGCGCCACCAGGGGGACCCCAATATCATTCAAATTTATGGGGAGATGTTCTCACCTCTTTACTCTGTCATAACTAGAAATCCCTTATCTCAAAATCTCTTGAAAACTTTAGCTCTTTTGGCATTTAATTTCAATATTGCGATATCCCAGCTTATCATATTATATCAGGATATCCCAATAGCTATTTAGGATCTTAATTTCTTTTTTTTCTTTTAATATTTATATATACTATATATATATTACATTATTGTTCATTTTTGTACAATAGGATCTTAATTTGTTACCTAATGCCAGTTAGATTAAACTGTTATGATATAATATTAATTATGATATAATGGTTTTGATGTTGTCTTCTTAAACATTTTGTTAGGAAATTGTGATGTGATGGCACCAATGGTTGATATACTTATGAAACTTTTTCGAAATATGGTGAATGTGAAGATGCCATTTCATCTTACCCTTTTAAGTGTGTGCTTCTGCAACCTTAAAACAATAAATACTGCTAAGAAAGGGACTATTGATTATTATTTGACACCATCATTTTCAACAGCCTCACACTCTGGCAAGCGCAGTTTTGTAAGTACATTATTAATTGGATTTGCGTGGTTAAATTACAAATCTAAGTTTGTGTTGGGTGCTACTGTTTGACATACTAGTAGATTGTACCTGTCATATTAGCTGCTTTCCTTATGTACACTGTACTGTGATCTAAGATGAAAACATAAGCATTACAGGATAAAAGAGAAACCATCACGGAGGTTCCCTAATTTGGAAATGTTAAGACATTTTATATATACCAGCGTAGAGGAATATGATGATAAGTTCATAATATGAAAATATTTCCAGACATTGGAAATCAAATATTTGGGTCTGATAATTTATACATAAGTTACTAGCACCCTGCCCACCAATATCTTTGTTAACATATTTAAATTTTCTTGGTTTTAAAATTATTTAAAATTTTTATAATATTAATATGACCACTTGTTTTACAATTAAAGAAATTAACAGTGTGATGGTAGAGAAACAGAAGTCAGTTATATTTTCAAATGGCTAAAATTAAGCCCCTATGTATGACCATTTGGCAAACTTAGGTTTACTAAATTTGATATGCTTTTCAGTTAGATTCATTTACATTTAAGCTTAAAAGGGGAACAGATGGTATGGGAATAATATTTTAGTACTGTCTTCAAATTATCTCTTTCTGTGACTATTTTATTCCATTTATTAACTAAAATTAAAAAGGTGTTTATACTTTAATTGATCTGTAGAATGAGAATTAAATATCCTAAGTGAAAGTTCTTTGTATTTGTCTGTCACACAGTGAGGACTCAGAGTACAATGGCCCTAATATCTCATTTTTTTGAAGTTACTATTGTGTTAATGTTTCCTGAGTTATATTTGACTGCATATACATTTTGGGGTGCTTAAAACTACAGGGAAAATTTAAGTGAAAAACTTTAATGAGACAAATATGGAAGTTAGAATTGAAGTTTTTTAAAAACCTTTATTTTATGTAAATATGAATGTTATATCTTTACCATGAAAGTATTCTTCCTTTCTGTTAAATGTTTCACTTTGAAGTAGTAATTTTTAGTAAACCAACTATTGATGCTATGTGTGTGTGCCTTTGTGTGTGTCTGTATTTTTAAAAACCCTTGGGTAAACCATTGACTTTTTTTATTATTATTTAAATTTTATTTTTATATTCCCCACACAATTACAACCCCCTTATTTTGATCCCAATCCCTCCTTTCCCCACCCCCCACTCCCCATAGAGTGTCTCTGGTTCATAGTTGTTTGTTGATTTTGATATTTTCTTTCTTATAGTTATTCTTTTTCCTGGTCCCTTATTTAAGTTTTCTAGATTCCTGCTATGAGTGAGACCATTCGGTATTTTTCTTTTTCTTTCTGGCTTATTTCACTAAGCATGATCCCTTCCAGCTCCACCCATGTTGCTGCAAATTGCATGTGTTTATCTTTTTTGAATGCTGAGTAATATTCCATGGTGTATATGTACCACATCTTGATCCAGTCATCTATTTTTGGGAATTTGGGCTGTTTCCAAAGCTTAGCTATTGTAAATAGTGCTGCTATAAACATAGGGGTGCAGGTGCTCTTTGGAATTGATGTTTCTGTGTCCTTTGGGTAAATACCTAGGAGTGGAATTGCTGGATCATATGGAAGCTCTATGTTTAGTAGGTCAAGAAATCTCCACACAGCTCTCCATAGTGGTTGGACCAGTTTGCACTCCCACCAACAGTGCAGGAGAGTTCCTTTTTCTCCACAACCTCGCCAACATTTGTTGTTGCTAGTTTTTTTAATATGTGCCATTCTCACTGGTGTGAGATGGTATCTCATGGTAGTTTTGATTTGCATTTCCCTGATGACAAGTGATGTTGAACATTTTTTCATATGCCTGTTGGCCATTTGCATTTCCTCTTCAGAGAAGTTTCTTTTTAGCTCTTCTGCCCATTTTTTGACTGGATTATTTTCTTTGTTGTTGTTGAGTCTCATCAGCTCTTTGTAGATTTTTGTGATCAGTCCTTTATCATTAGTGTTGGGTGTAAAAATGTTCTCCCAGTTGGTGGGGTTTCTCTTTGTTTTTGTTATTGTCTCTTTTGCTGTGCAGAAGCTCTTTAATTTGATGTAGTCCCAGCTGTTTGTCTTTGCCTTCACTATCACTGCTTTGGGTGATGTGTCTGTAAAGATGTCTTTGATATGCACATCATGTAGTGTTTCGCCTATATTTCCTTCTATGTATTTTATGGTTTCAGATCTTATGTCTAGTTCTTTAATCCATTTTGAGTTGTAAATCATTGACTTTTAATAGGCCACCATTCTTTTATTCACAGAATTATTAACTTGAATACATGAATCTTAAGATCCTTCCTAGGTCTGCCAATTCATACCTACCTTCTGGCTCAGAGCTATCTAGGAAGGAAGCCTTTTCTTGAAACAGTGAATAAAGATCCATACAACAGTGAGAATAATTCCAGTGGATCTCTGGTTATTTGGAACTGGCCAAAAGCTTTGAAGTATTGAGTAGAATAAAATTATGTTGGTCAGATAATAGCTAAATCCCACTTCAGCAGCATAAATTTTTAAGCAATTATCAAGTATCTAAGTTATTCTTATTCTTGTGTTCTAGAAAATGAAAGACACTCACATAGAAGATTTTTTCAAAGACAAAGAAACAAATTGGGATTGTCTACCAACTGGAAGAATTGAAAGTATAAGTACGGGGGAATCTCCATTTGATAGTACAAATTTTTCTAAACAAAGAGATATTAATGAAGTCCCAGTCTGCCCACTTCCTGAGGGTGTTGACCAAGAAGTCTTTAAGCAACTTCCAATAGATATTCAAGAAGAAATTCTTTCTGGAAAATCTAAAGAACAAGTTCAAAGGAAAGGAAGTTTAAGCTGCCCATTGCATGCCTCCAGAGGAGTATTATCTTTCTTTTCTACAAAACAAAAGCAAGATAGCCCCATAAATCCTAGAGATCATTTATCCAGTAGCAAACAGACATCCTCTGTATCTCCCTGTGAACCAGGAACATCGGGTTTAAATAGCAGTAGTTCTTCTTACCTATCACACCAGAAGGATTATTCACATTACTTAGACAGTAGATTAAAAGATGAAGGAATGAGTCAAGGACCTAAAGAATCTCAAGGATTCCACTTTTCAAATACCAACCCTGCAGTCTCTATTATCCATTCTTTTCCAAATATGCAGTGTGAGCAACTTTTCTCCAAAAATCGCAATGCAGATAGCCATAAGGAACCATTAGCAACAGTCCCTCATCATGAAAGACTTACAGAAATTAGAGAACAAGATTCAACTGATGAGAAAATTACTTTTCCTTCTGATGTTGATCCTGAGGTTTTTTATGAACTCCCAGAAGAGGTACAAAAGGAACTCTTGGCTGATTGGAAGAGAACAGGATCAGATTTCCACATCGTACATAAATAAGTATGTTCAGGAAAAGGTCTATAAAAAGCAAGGGAAAGATGACTGTTGTTCTCAGATTAGCAGTTTATTAAGCTCTTTTAAGTTAAACACTAATTATTCAATAATGTAGAAATTTAACATAAAATGTTGCAGATAAAACAAGAATAGTTACAGGAAGTAAATTCTGACAGGAAGCATAAAAATACACATTACAGAAGAAATAATGTAAAATATTATCGTCCAATTATTTCTAAAACTGTTTTATATAGCTTTTCAATAAAAAGAATATCATGGTCAGCATTAGTACATTTTTCCATAAGTTTTGTGTAGGGAGGTCGGGGTGATACACATATTTACATATAAAAATAGCGGAATCACTGCTATGCTGTAGCAAAGAACAATAGTTTTCTGTGAAATAAGGAATTGTTCAAGAAATTCATCCTGTTAGGAAACAGCCAGATAAGAAATTCTGCCAGTTAGCCTACTAAACATGTACATATCTTTGATTTAAGTTTGACAGCCCAATACTACATATCATTTAGTAAGTAGACTGTTTAAAATACCAAAGCAGTGTTTATTCAATTAATGCTTCTTAGTGCACCTAGAACCTACCACAATGTCATGTCTAGAGGGCACTCAATAAATAATGAATGAGTGAATGATATGGCAGGGACTGGGTGGGGAGAATATATGTTGTAGAGAAGGAACTCTCCATGCAGGCAGGTTAAGGGAAGGATGGATATCACAAGTGTAAGGTGATGGATGTATAAGAATGCTGGATAATAAATCCTTTTCATTTTAGTTAGTCTGTAGGGATAAGCAATGGATTAGATATTTACTGTCTTCTTTCCTATTTGGAGAGAAGGGTTGTCAAACACACAACAAATGTATAAAGTTAATAAATTAGTATGTGTCCTTGTTCTACCATTGTGCCTTCACTTTTGCTTGCCAATAAAATTGTGAACTTATAATTTGTGAGACATAAGGATGTTTCTAGAATACACTCAAGCACTTTTCAGGACTGGTTCCAAGGAGTCTTGTTCTCAAGTTTGTTATTTTTGCCAATATAATCTAAAGAAAAGATTTGATAAAAATATACAAGTGTGAATTAAAAGTAACTTTAACATCCTCTCTTCTAGGTAGGCAGTTTTAACTTAGATGCCGAATAATTTTTTTTTTCTTCCAGAGGTCAGTAACAACCTACTGACACCTTTTTAGCCCCTTGAGAGGTCCTGACCGAACACATTTGTCTCCTCACTTCTGTCCTAAGGTTGTTTCCAGAGGTTAACTGTGGACCACTAATAGTATCTGCCCCTGGGCAAGCCCCACCTTTCAAGCTTGCTTCTTGCCTGATGCTTTGCTTCCTGTTTCTTTCCTGCTTTTGTTTCAGCTCTTTTTTTTTTTTTTTTTTTCCTGTGTAAGTGTAGAGGCATGGAGTCTGCAGAGTTCCCTCAGATAGTACAACCCAATAAGAAACATTTTCTCCAGGTTCTAGTGTTTTTTGTCTGGAGAACTCTTAAGAGTATCCCACTACAGTTCACTATTTGCACTATTTTGTACTTTGTTGTTTTTTTTTTTTTCATTCCATTCTTTTTTTTTCTAAGATTTATTATTTTTATTATTTTTATACAAGAACCGGGGTACAGGCCAGATGTGTGGGAGGGTGAGAAGATTCACCCAAGACAGAGTGGGGAACAGAACCAAAATACACTGCTGAGGGGAGCAGTGGGCGAGACAGGAGAGGTCTGCTCACCATGTGGCACTGCAGAGGCTGCGGACAGCTTCACAGCGCTGCACTCAACTGCCTGTGCCACCAGGAGGCCCTTCATTCCATTCTTACCCATATCCCTTTACTATCTTTTTTTTGGATTGGTTGAATTTTCTATTTTTTTCTTATTTGTAATTTAAGCATTCTATTATAAATACTTTTAATTATTCTCAAAAATTCTACATGCTTAACATCTAAAAATGTTACAGGGCAAGGAGAGGGGCACCCCAGAACTCCCAAACCTGCCCATTCTAAATAGATTCTGTCATCCACTGCATCAAGACAAAACATATATGACCTTTAATGGAAAGGAACTTTAATACAATTAGTGTGCAATACAGAAAAGACAAAGAATATAGTTTGCAAATCAAGCTCCTGAAGTTATCCATCCCTTTGTGGGTGAATGTCCAGCCAAACAGGGTTGGCCCAAAGCCAGGCCCAAAAGCCTGCCCCAAGTCTAAAGCACCTTCTGGCAGGGACCCATAGAAAAAGGTCAGAAATAGCCAGACAAGTCTGGGAGAAAAGAGAAAAATCAAAATCAAGATAAAAGCTGCCATTGTTAACCTCCCCGTGGGTCTCTCACCCACATCTGTTTCAACCAGTCCAGGACCAAGAAGCAATTGCACTTTCGTCGCATGTCTCTGCAACATGTGCCTCCTCCTGGTCTACTTCCAGTTTCATCCTGCTTCCTTCTTTCCTAGTCTCCTCTCCAGCTTCTTCTCCTCCCTGCTTAGCTCCTCCCTACCTCGGGTGAGGCCAGGAACCTGGAACCTCCCCTTTTCCTGTTACAAGGGACTGCCCTGTTAACAAAAATAGTAAATATCTATACACTCTTTCCAAACAACACAGCATGTTTAAATATATTAATTCTAAACAAATTCCTAATTTAACTTTCAGCTTGAATATTATTGTTTTATATTGTCAATGATTAGGTTTGCCCAATTTTTTTTTAAACTCACTTTCATGCTTCTCAGACATTCCTTCTAAGTAGAGCTTTTAATTTCTGAAATTATGTCTTTAGAACTATAAATTTAAAATTGACTTCTCTTGGGCTGTTTTAAAATAATTTTGTCTTTGGAGATCTGCAATTTTTATTATATAGCTACAGATTTATTTTTATGATGTTTGGGATTTAGGTGTTTATGAATCTGTAGATTTATATCTTTCATCAAAGCTGAATTTCATTAATAAAAATTTTTCTTTTGTGAAATCTGTAATATAGAAAAATGCGTTAAGAAATGGACATATTAATGGATCATTATAAGCAACAATTGTTTAACTATCCAGGACAAGAAATAAAATACCAGGCCTCCCCGGAGGTGCAGCTGTTGAGCGCTGGGCTGCAAAGCTGCCTGCAGCCTCTGCAGCGTCGGTTCAATCCCCGGCCACCGGCAAGGGTCCCACATGGCGCACAGACCTCTCCTGCCATGCCCGCTGCTCCCCTCAGCAGTGTATTTCGTCAGTCTGCCTGTTCTGTTCCCCACTCTGGCTCTGGTGAATTCTCTCACCCTCCTGTGCTTCTGACTGTACCCAGTGCTTATATAAATAAATAAAATCTTAATAAAAAATAAAAGAAATAAAATACCCCAAGTAATCAAGATTTCAGAGTTTTTCTTGGGGTTTTACTATGTAGAGAGGATTTATTAAATTGTTACAGAATTCTTTTACTCATTGCAGTTTTATCAATTTTTGATTCAAGTATTTTGAATAGGCATTAGCATTCAGGAAAATGAGGTTCTTTTTTTTTTTTAATTTACATCTTTTTTTTTATAGAGGCATGTTTTTATTTATTTGTTTGTTTGTTTGTTTGTTTTGTTTATACATGCACTGGGTACAGTCAGAAGTGCAGGAGGGTGAGAATTCACCAGAGCCAGAGTGGGGAGCAGAGCAGGCAGGCTGAAGTACACTGCTGAGGGGAGCAGTGGGCGGCAGGAGAGGTCTGCGCGCCATGTGGGACCCTCCTCCTATGGCCGGGGAGCAGCCGGGGATTGAACTGGCGCTGCAGAGGCCGCGGGCAGCTTTGCAACCCAGCACTCAACCGCTGTGCCACCGGGGAGGCCCCAGGAAAATGAGGTTCTGATGAATTTAATATTTTTATATGATTGTTTTATCCCTGATAAATTATTTGCTATGAAAATCAGTTTTCCTAATGATTGTCTTTATAGGTTTTTAAAAATTAATGTTAACAGTGTCTTTCCCCAGTCCTTTTAAACTATGTGTCTGTACATAAAAATTTTTTAATATATAGCAGTTGGGTCTTGCTTTTTCTTCCTTTTTTTTTGCATAGAATAACTGGGCTGTAGACCATAGTTGGGGAAGAAAGTAAGAGGATTCACTGGAGACAGAATGGGGAGCAGGACAGGCAGATTTTTCTGAAATGCACTGCTGAGGGAAGCAGCAGGTGAGACAGGAAATGTGTGCTGTGCCATGTGGGTAGCTTCCTGGTTGGGGATCATACTCAGGCTGTAATGATGATAGTGCTGAGACTTAACCCTTAGGCCACTGGGGAGTCCCACTGGGTCTTACTTTTTCATTTAATCTGATAACTTTGCATTTTCATTGAAATTTTTAGACCATTATTTATATGATTAAGATTGAATCTACCTATTTCCTATTTTCTGCTTTATCCTATGTTCTCTTTTTCCCTGTTTTTATGCATTTTAGGGACTGAGGGTTTTTAAAAATCATCCTATATATTTTTCTCCCTTATTGGCTTATAATTACCGTTACTGGGCCTCCCCCGTGGCACAGCGGTTGAGCGTTGTGTTGCGAAGCTGCCTACAGCCTCTGCAGCACCAGTTTGATCCCTGGCTGCCAGGTGAGGGTCCCACATGGCACGCAGATCTCTCCTGCCGCCCACTGCTCCCCTCAGCAGTGTACTTCGGTCCTTCTGCCTGCTCTGCTCCCTGCTCTGGCTCTGGTGAATTCTCTCACCCTCCCACGCTTCTGACTATACCCAGTGCTTGTATAAATAAATAAATAAAGCTTTAAAAAAAATTACAGTTACTTATCACTTAATGATGCCAGAGATATTCTGAGAAATCTATTTGAGGTGATTTCACCATTGTGTGTACTTACACAAACCTAAATGGTACAGCTTTACTACACATGCTGGTTGTATATAGGGACCACCAACATATGTGTGATCCATTGTCGACTGACATGTCATTAAGCAGTGAGTGACTGCATAATTCTGTTTTGCTATTTTGTTATTTCTTTAGGTATTTATTTTATGTCTAACTTATCAAAGTATACCTTCAAGCCATAAACAACTACTATATGTCTAAGGGCCTTGCAAGGGTACATTCACTTACATTTCTCTAACCTCTGTGGTATTGTTACTATACATCTTGCTCCTGTGTACATTGTAACCACAATATATATTTTTGCTTTTCTCTATATAATTTTTGAAAAGGGATTTGAAAATAATGGAAAGGAGTGCTAACTCTACCCATATTTCTGGCATTCATCATATTGCCATCTGGTATTAATGATAGAGCTTTCAAAGATTTTCTTGAACTGCATAATCTGTCTGAGTTGCCTTTATTTGATAAACAGTATGGACTAAGAATCTGATAGGAAGCTCTGGTAGCTTGGATGGGACTTTTATTTATTTATTTTACCATAACAGAGTTTTCTTTCTCTTAAATGTTACACTTCAGAATATTTATTTTTGGTAAACCAGCTGTTGATAGTGTCTGTGTGTATCTGTGTAAGCATTTTTAGAAACACTTGGGTAAATCACTGACCTACCAACATCTGAATACTCTCAAATATAAACAAGCATTCTTGATGTGACAAGATGAGATCTTAGAGCTTTCTCTTCTAATTCCATCAGCCAAAGAATAATTTTATAATTATTGTTAGCAAAGTAAGTCTCAAGATGTGGTTATTGTAGAAGCTGTTATTTTTATATAGAAAACCATTACTAAAAATTCTCAAATTATTGAGTTAGGGAAAGAGATTGACAATATGAATATTGAAAATGTGCAAATATTCAAAAACTATGATGAACATAGATTCTTTTTTTTTTAACAGGAGAATTCATTCTGCTTTTTTATTGTACATGTGATTTTACAATATAATGTTTCCATCAGTTATTTCATTTTACCCTCACACATTTCCAGAAAGCACAGAATTAATAAAGGCAAGAATTAATGATTCTTCATTTAAGAAGAGCAGAGACTCAATGACTTGCTCCAAGTCCTACAGACAGTAGGTGATGAGGCGGGACCATCCATCATGTCCTGGGAGGGTCAACCCAGTGCTTTCTCAGAACCCTCCCTCCCGCACTGCAGCTCCCCAGGATCATCATGTCCTTGAGCTTTGCCTTTGGTGTATGATATTTTTTAAAGCTGGCAGTAAAGGTGTTGGCTTCTCATTACCTTGCATGAATGATGCACGGTGCTGGCCGCAAGGGAAGGGAAAGCTGCCAGGATGTGAATATTGCTGCTACATTTTCCACATTTAACATTTGAAGTTGGTGACAAAGTGAAATTGATTAACGGTACAAGTAGCTTGTTTTGCTAAAAATATACAAAATGTTATCTGCTTTGAACAAATGAGGACATGCTTGCTTTTCCCAGTAACATTAAAGGATTCTAGTTTCAGTCTAACGCTCTTCTCTCGGATTAGTTCCGACACATGAAGTTGACTCTGGGGAACATTTTATATCCATTTTCAAAAGGACTTTAAGGATAAGGTGTCTCTGAGAAAAAGATCCTTTTCTCAAGTCTAGTTTTGGATATTTGTGGTAGATATTCAAGCTCTGCCCTTACTTTTCTAAAACCTTGTTAGGAGTTTCTTCCAACATCACTAGCCAATTCTTGGGGATTATTTCAAGTAAAGCCATTTAGAACTTCACCACTGAAATGTTTAGTCTTGTGATTTGATTCTTTTTGAGTCAACAATAATATGTGACTATTTGTTGGTAATAGATAACTATTACAAAATTTTGTAACTAGAAGTGGGGAGCTGCGCAACAAAAAATAAGATATATGATTTGCGGGGAGAGAGAGAGGCACTAGAAAAGGGGCAGGGGAAGAGCACAATGGACTATGGTAGAGGACTATGGATACTTTGGTGGTAGGAGAGCTACTAATGACCAGACCTGAGGAGCGAAATCCTAAACTGTCAAAAAATTTACAAGAATGTAAATCAGAGGTACTTCATTTAAAAATTTGTGTAAATTACAAAAATACCTAATGAACTTTTGACCTTGTGCAAGGATATCTTCAAAGTGTAGAAAGCGCCACCTGCTGGCTACACTTAAGTAGTACAAGAAAGCTTTAAAAAGAGGTTACAAGTAGAAGTTAAATATGGAGACAGAGTTACTAAATTGGAAAATAAGTTATTGTCTTAGCTCCCACTTAGCAGAATATCAAAGTAAGACATGACCACATGTCAAACTCCAGATCCTATGTAATCTTCTGTTTCAGCAGGTAAGTCCTCTAATTAAGGTGTAGTGGGAAGGCTGGGTGGTCTGTACATTCATCTTACTACTGGGTCCTGCCATCAGCACCCTTGCAAAAAGTAGAGCACCGGCTGACATTCTTTACAGATGGCGAGGTGGCTGTTCAGCTCCTTCCTGGCAAAAATGGGCATTAATATGCATGGTCTTGTGCCCTTGAGTGCACTCAGCTGAACTCAGCTCCCTACTGACCCCCCATGACACCAGAGGAGGGGATGGGGAAGTGGAGTGCTAATTAGTCCCACCACCTTGTTCCACCCTGTTGATGCCAGGTGGGTGTGGAGACCCAGGTCCCCACTGAGTCTGCTCATACCAGCTTCTGTAGGAAAAGTGGGGGCTGTCCCAGTTCTGGAGACCGGAAGTCTGAAATCAAAGTGTCAGCTGGGACATACTTCTACTGAAGACTTTAGGGGAGAATCCTTCCTTGCCTCTTCCCGCTTCTGGTCTTTTGGTGTTCCCTCGCTTGTAATTACAAACCTCCCCTCTCTGCTCTGTCTTCACATGGTCTCCTCTCCTTTACATGTCTCTCTGTGCATTTCTCATTATAAGACACTTTGATTAAATCAAGGGCCCAATCAGATAATTCAGGATGCTCTCACCTTGAAGTCCTTAGCTGTGTCTGCAAAGATCCTTTGTCCAAATGGTGGACAGAGTTCCAGGCATTTGACATGGACATATATTTTGATGGCCACCATTTAATATACTACAGAGGGGAAACCACTGACACTGGGTGAGGATAGAAGTTCAGCACGCCTGGGCCTTGGTGTTATTAGGAGTTGGGAGGGCAGAGAAGCTGGCCCTACTTTACACTAGCTGTAAAGTCTGCTGCTGCCAGGTTAATAGTGGAAGCTCCTTTTGCTACTGGGCCCCACTGACACTATCCATTAGGGCCACTAAAACACTACTGCCTGCTGCTGGGTGGAAAATGGAAGATCAGCTCCTTGCTTTGCAGTGTATACCATGACCACCATCGCCAGATGAGTAACCACAATGCTGTCTGATTCTGCCAGGTCGAAGTTGGAAGATTAGCTCCCTGCTTAACGCAGGTGTGTGTTTGCACACACAAATGCACACAGACAGTTCTTCCACCAGCTTTTGTGGGACAGAGATGAGGTGGGTAGGAAATCACCTCTCTGCTTTCACCCACTGAAACCATAGAGGATGTGGGTGCAGTTTTTAGGTTGGTATTTGACTAGGCTAGGATCGGTATTGTCAAAAATATTTTTGTTCTGTTAGGCCACCCTTCAGTTCATAGCCACTGGTATGGCAGACTTTTCCTTGAAGCCTTTTTTCCCCCTGCCTGTTGGTGGTTCCAGGTTGGGGGTTTCTGTAGCAACTGTCTGGAATCTATGGGAGGCAATAAGGAAACTCAGAGAACTCACTGCTGTCTCTCTCCGTAAGTCCCAAGGTCCCCGGGCAGTTTGCCTTCTTGTCTTTCCACCTATGCTTGTTTGCTGTGTTACATGCAGGGTCCATTAGTTGTAAGAGGAAGGACTTAGTGGGAATGGACTGCTACATTCTGGCCAGAACCAGAAATTAATTCCTGACTCATTCAGTTTTAAATTCTAGATATCACTGGTCACATATACTAATGCACTTTTTTTAAAATTTTATGTTCATGTTTCCTACAATGATCAATTTAAGCAGTAATTTCAGGAAAAGAATTTAAAATAATTTTAGTCTTTAATTAAAGCTGACCTCTGACTGCATGTGCTCTCTTTCTGATTCTCTTGCAGAGCATTTTCAGGGAATGGGAAAGAAAAGATAAAAGGGCATAAGAATGCTTGTGATTTAACATTATGCTCAAGTGAGATTAAAAACTATATTTAATGTTGTTCTCTTATGCAACTATGAGTTCTTATTTTCACAAAGTACCTTCCGTAAGTTGTACAAGAATACTGTCTCGGATAGTTTAACAGTATTTATGCATATTGATTTAGAGGCAAACTACAGTAAATGCCAAAGATGAGTTTATGGCAGAACGGCTTCATTTCTTCTTTAAGATTGATGAGTGACCATTATGATGATATCCATGTCTTGCAGTTTTATGAATCTTTATTCCGTCTTTTGCACTGAGAATGAAGTTTATTAAGTTGGAAGGCATGGTTGCATCAACTATGGATGGGGACAATTTTCCTTTCATTTCTGTCTGGACAAACATCACCAGTTTGGAATATGCTGGGTTCCTGTAAGCAAAGGAAGAGCTAAAATATATGATACTTATAGATTTATCTATTGAATTTACAAGTTTACTATTTTATAGTACTTACAGGTTAAATAGTTATTGAAGGAAAGTACTATTTTATAGTACTTACAGTTTAAATAGTTATTGCAGTCACATATTTTACATAAAAAATAACATTTTACATAAAATAACTATAAAAATAAACATTTTACATAAAGATATTAAATAAGAGTATATATTAAAGGTTTCAGTTTTAGAAGCACTTTTTTGTCATTTTATTGACTTTTCAGTTATAAAAGGTGAACTATTATGAAAATTTCAATACAGAATATTATTTATTTGTTTGTTTATTTATTTTAAAAGATTTATTTATTTATGCATTCTAGAGCTGGGGTACAGGCCAGAGGTGTGGGGGGGGTGAGAGGATTCACCAGAGACAGAGTGAGGAGCAGAACAGGCAGACTGACTGAAATACACTGCTGAGGGAAGCAGCGGGCAAGACTGGAGAGGTCTGCCTCGCCATGTAGGTTGCTCCCTGTCCGGCCAGGGTTCGAACTTGTGCTGCAAGGCTGCGGATTGCTTCATAGTGCAGTACTTAACCCCTTGTGTCACCAGGAAGGCCCCACAATACAGAATATTTAAAATGAAAGCATTATTCCTCTCTTATTCTCCTCTGTTCTCCAGAGATAGTCACGATATTTGACTCTCTTTTCAGATTATTGTCGTAAGTATATATAAAAAAATCATACATGAAATCATATATATGTAATACATGTACCCCACATTTACATTTTTGTTTTTATAAAAAATTACATTTTCCTTGCAACTAGCTTTATTTTTTGTTTAATGGCATAACTTGCACTCTGTCAAAATATACAGATCTCCTTAATTGTTTTTTCACAGCTGCATATGATACTTCGTACTCATTAACCAGTCCTTTATTGACTACAGTTTAGATTGTTTCTCACTTTTTGCTACTATAAATAAAGCTGCAATAAAACATCCTTGTAATGTGTCCATTTATACTTCTATAAATACTTACAAAAATTTCTAGGTCAAAGGTTTTGTGCACTTAGCATTTTGAAATATTATTTCAAATTTCCCTCCAAGAGGACTCAAGTATTCCATATGCTAACCTAGTGACATTCAAACTGGAATGTGTGAAAACTTTCTGAGGGGTATGAGAGGATTAATAACATTCGCAGGAATAGATTTTCAAATAATTCCTTAAACTGATCTGAGAATTAGTCTCTGATAGAGATGTAGATTTTCCTTTCTCACTACCTGTTCGCAGTCATCTCTTTCACATTATAGAACAAAGATACAACTGTCATCCATCCTGAATAGTGTTGATACTTTACCCTGACATACAAAATTCTTTGAAATGCCAAAGAGAAAATCTGATCTATTAGAAGTGAAGTAATAAAGTGAATGACTGATGACTTGGTATTCAATCCATTTCCAAGCCATGTCAATTCTCTGCTTTAATAAAATGTAAGGATCTGCTTAAGTTGTTAGCTGATAGGTCAATAATGATGGGTCAAAATGTAATTTATGGTGCATAATTGAGGACAATTTAAAGGAATTGACAGTGTCAGAATTATATTTTTTTCCATTTTCACCCACTTACTAATGTGAGAAAAGTTTCTTAGTGCTTATGTTTATAAAAATGCACAATAGGAGTAGACTTGATAGTATATGCATTACCAATTTATTAGTAATTAAATCCATAGTTATATTAAATGGTTATAATTGATAGACACTTTGTCTGCCTTGCTTTGAAGTTGAGTTTTACTAGTATTTATTTGTAACCTTGAGAAAGTTACTTAACCTCTCTGGGCTTCCATTTTCTTGTCTGCAAAATGGAATAGTAATACTTCATGGAGCTATTGTGAGGACAACATGAGTCAATATATGTAAGTTGCTTACAAAAGTGCCTGGTACATGATGCTAAGTTTTGCTAATAGTAATAATGTGTTTCAACAACCAGTTTTTTAATATTTAATAATTATATACCATATTTTATAATTTATTATTTTATTTTGATCAATGGAAGTCATACATACACATATTTTATTAAGATGTTTACGGTCATGGGAAATAAAGTATAAAATTTAAAAAAATACTTATTTTTGCACGGAAGTATGATATGATGGGGATTAATAAAAGAATCCAAAGTATAAAATATATTCTATTAGGATAAAATTATATTGGGGAAAAATTAAAATGTGGGTTTAAGGAGAAAAAGAGTGATGTAAAATTCTGACTATTAAAGGTTGTATGTATTCTGAAATTGATAATGTGATGATGGGTTTCAAGTTGTTAATGGTTTTGAGATTTTAGTGGCTACATATTTTAATATCAACTTAATCATATGTAAGGCGAAATACAGTTTTACAAAATTCTTTTGCAGGGTATAAAGACCTCTGTTCCAACCAATGGTGTGAGTGTTCATTTTCCTGCACCCTTCTCTATACAGTCCAGACTTCTCTATACAGTCCAGACACCCTTCTCTATACAGTCCAGTATCTCCGATGGCTAGCTTGAGACTGCAAGCTTGAGAGAAGAGAATACGAAAGTATCACTTTTTGTCAGTACCCTTGCCTGAGACTATGAATGAGATTATATCTTCTCCAACAGGTCATTTGGTAGAGTTCTTGCACTAGATGCGAGGTCTACACCTGAGCTTTTGTCCCCCTACCCCCGCCTTTTTTTGCAGTGAAAGGGAAAGCTGACCAAGTGCAAGAAGGGAACTTTACCCGTGAAGCACACTGTAAGATCCTTACCAACTAGGATCCTTATCAGCAATTGTTTTGGAACAAAAACTCTCCCCTTGTTTTGCCTCTCTATTGCTATGAAGAATAATGTACTGGCCATCTATGGACAATTGACAGGTGCATGGTAAGACCATACATCATCATCATCATTATCAACATTATCTGTTCAATCATCCTGTCCATTATTGTAAATCACTGTAAGTTTCTTTTTGTTCTTTAATTCAGTAGTGAAAACATTAAGGAATACAGGCCCAACAATGTAATTTTATTTTGGCATCCTTCATATAATTTTTTTATACTGAGAAATTTTTATCTGACCGATATAAAGTTTTACACCTTTTTTAAATGTGCAAATGATTTTTACTCAATATAATAATCACTTAGCAAAAATTAACAAGGAATTTGTGAAATGATATATAGTGGATTAGTATACATGCACTTACAGGGTATATATGTTATGTTACTATACTATTCTTGGGCTTGCTACCTTAAGCAGTGATTCATTTCTTTTTTTTTTTTAAAGATTTATTTATTTGTTTGTTTGTTTGTTTGTTTGTTTATACAAGCACCGGGTACAGTCAGAAACATAGGAGGGTGAGAGAATTCACCAGAGCCAGAGCAGGGAACAGAACAGGCAGTGACGAAATACACTGCTGAGGGGAGCAGCGGGCAGCAGGAGAGGTCTGTCATGCCATGTGGGACTCTTGCCAGTGGCCAGGGATGGAACCGGTGCTGCAGAGGCTGCAGGCAGCTTCGCAGCCCAGCGCTCAACCGCTGGGCCACCAGGGGAGGCCCAAGCAGTGATTCATTTCCGATTTCTCTATCTCCTCCCTTTTCCAAATTTACCTATAAATGACTCATTCTGCAGGTATTTGCTCTCAGTAGATAGTCCATTGGAAAAAAACCATTTGAGGTAAAGCCGTTATGGTAAAGCAGTTAATGATAAATGTGTGTTATAATTCTAGGGCAATTTATTTTTAATTCACAGAAATTCATTAATCAATCACAGAAATGACCCTAAAGGATAAATATAAAAATCAAGTTAAAGTTAACTTGAAGGGAAATGTTTGTGAATGATTAGCCTCAGAAACTTCAAATCATGGGCCTCCCTGTTGGCGCAACGGGTTGAGCACAGCGCTGTGAAGCTGTCGTTATCCTCTGCAGCGCGGGTTTGATTTCCGGCCGGCCAGGGAGATTCCCACATGGCAGGGCAGGCCTCTCCTGTCTCACCGGCTGCTCCCCTCAGCAGTACTTTCAGTTTGTCTGCCTGTTCTATTCCCCACTCTGTCTCTAGTGAATCCTCTCACCCTCCACACCGCTGGCCTATACCCCAGATATTGTATAAATAAAAAATAAATCTTAAAAAAAATTTCAAATCATACTTGATAGAGAATTATCCATTTTAATTATACTTAAGATAAAAATACTTTTGAAGTGTGTTCTAAAATTGCATTTAGGGGCAATCATTTTTCCCAAATAGAATATACTGGCATATATTTCTACTGATGAACTAAGAATTCCTTTGTTAACAAATCACAAATTGAACTAGAAAACTGTTTAAAAAAATAAATACAAATAACACTTACTCTTTCAGAGGTGAGCATATATAGCCACAAGCATGGTTAAAACCACGGATGTAATTTGGAGATGGAGGACATGCTGAAAAATCCACACTCTTAGCTAAGAAATTAAAAAAAAAATTAAATGAAACCGATTTCACATGAAAAATTCTATTTCCAGTGGCATTAACAATGTATGAATAGTAAGTAATTTAACTTAGCTATTATCAGCATTAACATGAACACAAGTGCACGTATGATTACACTTATGAGTGTGAAGACAGGTCAAAACAAAATACCATATGAGCACTACTGTCTCCTCAAACATTTTCAAGCTAGGAATGATGAGATTAAATTGAGTTATGAAGAAAACAAGGCTTTCTGCCAATGGCCTACTTAAGTCCCTTCACACTGAGGTACCTTGAGCTGCATGAGTGCGAAGATCTTTGTGGTATGAACTGACATGCTTTAAGTGAATAACTGCCAGTGAATACTTGCAAACAAGGAAATGGATGCACATTTGCACTTGACAGAATACACATTTCGGGGGAAGGGGCCAAGATATACCAAAAGCTCTAGTTTCTCAAAGAAATAGGAACACAGTTCTATTAAGTGATTTTTTTAAAGAATTTTCATCTAGTAAAAATTTCTTCAGGAGCCTTACTAGTTACTAGATATGGCATTGTATACAATTCGAACATAAGAGTATATATGGAAAGATTAAATTTGCTTCTTGGTAGTTTTTAAATGGATGCTGTGAAGTACTAGCTTAGAAGTCTCTATACTCATTGCTGCAGGGTTTCTGCATAAAAGCCCAGGAGATGCCATAATCGCTGACTATGATGTGAATGACACCTCCAGAACTGGGAAAACAGCAGGCTTTATCTACCTTATGCATGTATTTATTGGTCTTACTAAGTAAATATAGAAAAAAATTAATTAACAATATAGTTTCTTCCAAACTATCAATTAAAAGAAAAATATTACGACTCATAGTAATTCCAAATATGGGCAAAATGTTTCAACTTACAACTGATAACATACACGTTTCCTTCATAGTGCTTGATGTATACCACGTCGATAAAGTCTCGGGGGGAAATGGAGCCCATGGCAAAACTTTGTGTAATGGTGTGACATATGAATGTATCCTGCGACAGATGGAAACAGAGAGATTGAAACAGTTATTTACATTTATTGTTTGTATTGCTCCCCCAAAGAATTTCATTGCATACTATTGAACTCTTTGGAAAAAGCAGAGCTTTGAAGATTTTAGAACTTAACATCAAAACAACGTACATTTTAAGTATTAAAGAAACATTAGACCCATAATTACAGGTGGAAGGCAACCCAAGCACAAAACCACCCCCCCCAAAAAAAAAAAAAAAAACAAGTGGGACTATGTCAAACTAAAAAGCTTCAACAAAAAACTTTTAACAAAATGAAAAGGCAACTTTGGGAACAGTAGGAAATATTTGCCAGTCATATATCTGATATGGACTTCATATAATTGCAGAAAATTCAGAAAGAAATCTTGAGATTATCTCCTCTTGGTAACTTTAGATGGAGAAGTCGAAACCGAACAGATTAAATCATGTGCATTACTAGAGATCAGTGCAGAAAAAGAAGCAAACTTTCTTGATCCCTAGTACAGCACAATTTCTACTATTCTGTATCAGCTAAGAAACATATTCTGAAAATATACTAGGTTAGCACCCTGTGGTGTAAGGCCTAAAGTTCCACACCAATGGTAGGTGCTGCTTTGACATCTGGTAAATCGGGAGGGTCCTGAATGTCCTAATTGCGAGTGCCTCCCCCTACTCTGTTCCTTAGCCAAAAGACCCTTCTTACCAACAGCACCAGGCACAGTTCTTGCTAGTCCCTGGGTAGCTCCTTTTAGTTTCCTTTTACAGGACTCAGAGGTCACTTAACCTCTTGTGCGCCACAGCCTGCTCTGCACAGCCTCTGGTCACTCACTGTTTCTGAGTACAACTCCCATTTGCCCTGCATGGCATGTCCTTGTTGAGAATTTAGCTAAGCTACTCCATGCTATTGCCACCTTGGAATCTATTTTGTTTGGCCAAGCAACTAGTGAGGGTCCTTAAACTAAACACTAACCCCTCATGGATTTGCATGCTTAGAAAACAGCCTAAAGAATCACAGTAAATGTGAATTCCAGATATACTTTCCCAAGTGTCCTTGTGATCAGTAGTCTCTCTTGCTGCCCAAGGCCTTCTCCTGTGTACCCCTGAAAGGAGCTTACCAAAAGCCTGCTGGTTTTGATTTGAATTGGCAACTCCAGCCTTGCCCTACGATTCTTCACCCAGGGACAATAATAAAAGCATGTGTCTTGGGTCATGCCTCTCTCTGCACTTTGCCTTGACCTTCCCATGCGGCCCTTCAAAGCACGTTGCTTACTTCTTCCAGAATCTGTGAGTCATAAACTTCTTTATTTCAGTTGTGGTTGTGGTCTTTTGTTGAACTGCGGCTGTGAGTAATAACTGATAAACCGTTGATGGTCTCACTTGTATAGTGTGGGATGTCAAGTGTTTGACCACCTCCATAACCTTACCACAGTAATCCCTCCCTCACCAACAGGCTCCATGCGAGTCAATTAAAACCAGCTCCTGGAGATGAATATAATAAGCACTCATAGGATGGTAAGAGAATTCTCCTTATAGTGTAATACTCTTCAGAGATAACTGTGGTTTACTAAAAGGTGAATGAAATTTGGAATGAAGAAATCAGGTATCAGTCCTGTTTTTATCACATATGGGCAGTGGGAATCTTGGGCAAGTCACATTATTTCTCTGAATCTGTTTTTTAAGGTTTTTTTTGGATGCTAAACCTAGTATCCTTTCTGTTATTAGAGTTGGTTTGAAGCAGGAGCAGAACTATCTGAAGTGCTAGTGGAACTCTTTGTTGGAACTCAGTGTGATGTTTGAATTTTCATGTGTGATGGTGCATGTTCCTCCCATAGAATGTTTAAATCAGAAGAGAGTCATGGACATGTGTTTTATGTGGGTGAGGACGGCAGGACCTAAAATATCTCTCCCCTCCCAGAATTCAAGATCAGATTAATAAAAGGAGGTAAAACTAACCTACAGAGTTTGAGATAAATGATAAGGTGGTAGCAGATATCCATGCTATCCACAAGAGACATTTGTTTTTTTTTTGATGAGTGGATGAGCCTTGGGGACTCAAAGAACAAAGGCCCAGGGATCTGGAATTTTATAAAAGCGATTGTTTATGAAAACCATAAAAGCTTGATTTACTCTAACATTCACATTTACCACCTCTTTCTCATAGAGTAATTATCAGTCAAATACCTAGGACATGGTTTTTAAAAAGGTTAAGTATGATTCTGTCCTTTTAAGTGTACATTAAATCTAGTCCTTTTAAACATACAGTTCAACAAGTTTGCTAAATTACTTAGTAAATTTATTTAAAGCAAACTTATTTAGTTAGTTGTACAAATTTTGCCACAGTTCAGCTTTAGAAGATTCATCTTTGATTCCTCTCTCTAACTCCACCCACTGCATCTCTAACATGTGTCCCTGAATTCTTTGATTTCTACCCCTCTTCACCACTACCACCCTAGGCCTTATCCTCATGACAGCCTGGTCTTGCTGATTTCACTCTGCCTCTTTATATCCCCTTCCCCTTTCAGCGACTATCTCAAGTCAAATCAGTCACTTTCCTGCTTAAAAGACTCCAATGGCTTCTTGGTGAACTTAAAATAAAATTTCTCCCTATGACCAATGGGACTTTGATTTCCTGTTCATTAAATTTAAGCCTCTCTCTAACCTCAGGGGCTTTGCATCAACTTTCATCTCTGTCAGCTACACTCTCCCCCCCAAGTGCTACTGTAACAGGGGGATTGTAACAGGGTGGTCCCCAGGAAAGGAGGAGGTTCCCTGCCCCACCCAAGGGAGGGTGGAGCTGAGCAAAAAGAGAAAAAACAGGGCCTTCCCGGTGGCACAGTGGTTGAGCGCTGGGTTGCGAAGCTGCCCGCAGCCTCTGCAGCGCCGGTTCGATCCCCGGCTGCTCCCCGGCCACCAGAGGAGGGTCCCACATGGCGCGCAGACCTCTCCTGCCGCCTGCTGCTCCCCTCAGCAGTGTACTTCGGTCCTTCTGCCTGCTCTGCTCCCCGCTCTGGCTCTGGTGAATTCTCTCACCCTCCCGCGCTTCTGACTGTACCCAGTGCATGTATAAACAAAACAAACAAACAAATAAATAAAACATGCCTCTATTAAAAAAAAAAACATTTAAAAAAAAAGAGAGAAAACAGCAGAAGAGACTGAGGAAGGAAGCAGGATGGAGCCAGGAGACCTGGAGGAGGCGTGTGGAGCCTAGAGACACGTGAAGAAACTGCGCTTGCCTTTTGGTCGTGGACTGGGTGACACAGATGTGGGTGAGACCCAAGGGGAGGTGACAATGACAGCTTTTATCTTAATGTTAATTTTACTCTTTTCCTTCCGGGCTTGTCTGGTTGTTTCTGACCCTTTTCTGTAGGTCCCCACTAAAAGATGCTTTGGACTTGTGGCAGGTTTTGGGGCCTTGCTCTGGGCCAATCCCATATGGATGGACTTTTACCCACGAGGGGACGGGTCACTTTGGGTGCTTGATTTAGAAACTATATCCTTTGCTTTTCCTGTATTGTTTCCTAGTTTTATTAAAGTTCCTTCCCATTAAAGTCTCCTATGTTTTGTGTTGATGCGGCGGATGACAAAACCCATTTAAAATAGACAGGTTTGCGGGGTTTGGGCTGCCCCTCTCCCTGTCCTATAACACTACCTCTATCACCTCTACTTTGATACTCAGCCTTCCACCCACATGTCTCAGAGAGGCCTTCCCTGATTAACTACAAATTAGCGTCACCTGGTCATTGCCTATACTATTATTTTTGGATTTCATGTCAGTGCAATTATTTATTTATTTATTTATTTCTCATTTTCCTCATGGCTGCTGAACAGTTTGATTCCCCAGACAGAGGGCTGACTTCCTAGGTGGTGTTCAACCAAGGGGAAAATCAAATTACCATTTCTATGGCAGGTTATCAAATCACCATGACAAAAACAGGGCCTATTTCAGCTTTCATTCCACTCTCCCCTCGCCCCCCCACCCCCCACCCCATCCCCCCACCCCCCACCCCCCCCCACCCGTGGGTCTGCTACTCCTAAGCAGCCTGTTCGGCTACCATTTTGTTACCTACAGTTCTAAATCCTAAGCAGGTCAAAATGATCCGTTCAGTGAGGTACAGAGCCCCACCCTCTATACTATTATTCATAATACTTGCATTATTATTATTAATGCTAGCCTTCATAATACTTATGATTATCTGATATTATTTTGTTTTAAAAAAATCGTTTGCTTGTTTATTATGTCTGTCCTGACTAGAGTTATAAGTGCAGTGAAACCAGGGCCATTTCCTGTCTTGTCCACTGATGTATGCCCGGTGCTTGAAACAGTATGTAGTTCACAAGAGTTGCTCAAGAAGTTATTTGTAGAATGAATTAATCAGTCAAAAGAACATAAATATCTGTATGAGGAGGAGTTGGAGAACAAAGTCCGGATTCTCCCATTAACATATCTGTAAGAGGGAAAAACTACAAACAACAACAGACGTGAAGAACGAATTTCAAATAGTAAATAATTTAGACGGTTATTTTGATGGTGGTCTAAGCAAATAAGAGACTATTGTGTTGCAATGAAATTCAGAACCTTTGTCCTACTTCTGGCTTCTTCCTTATTTCTACCTCATGTTACCAGGTGTCATTCTTCTGTCATTTCATTCATATTTTTCCTCCTCCTGAGGAAGAGTCTATCTTCATCTCATACTTTTCTTCTCTCCCCCTCTACTTGCCTCTCACATTCTGTCTTTCTCTAATCTTGATGGCTTTAACATTTTCCTCTGCTTAGTTATGTTTTTCTTTTCTCTTTATTTTCATTCTCTATTTAATTGAGATGGTATATTTGAAGTGTTTCTAAAACTGCAAAGGTCCAGATGACATTACTGCCAGCTTTGTCCTTACTCTTGAAAAAAAAAATTACATAGTTTGTTCCTAAGTCCCTACTGCACTGTTCCTACTATCTAATAAATCAAGAATAATACACTAAATTGCCATTAAACAAATATGCTCAATCTTTTTTTCCACGTAATGGAAAAAGGGCAATAATTAAGTTTAGATATCTCACACATGTACAGGGGAATTGACCAGATTCAGAATGTGGCACGTATTTACAAAGCTAATTAGAATTAAACTCTTATTAACAGAGAAGGAAGCTTTAAACCTTTTATAAAGATTTCAGTTCAACTTGAATTTATAAAACATAAGGTGTCTAAGGTTTATTGAACTCATATCACTGAGATAAAAACCTAATAATATAGCAATGTAGTGAAAGTCTAATATTAAACTACAAATTACCTTATCAACCTTGTGCATCATATCGCACACTTTCAGTGATTTATCCCATGTAACTCTGTTTTCAGGCTTGTAGAGGAAATCAGATAGTTTAGAAGTTGATTCTGGAATTATTCCTTCAACACGGTATCTATGGTTAACAATGAGAAAATTCAACATTTAGCAGGTTTAGTCTAACTTGAAAATATAATGCCATTAAAATATAGACTAATTTAGCAAATAACAATGAAGAAAACATGAAAGTAATTTCAGCAATTTAACATACTGATATTCAATTGGGAGTAGCCAGGTTTATTAAATATGTGTTGTAATAATAAATATGAATTATTTTAAAATTTCATTTTTTTCAATAATTATTGTTTATAACGTTTTTATACTCATCTTTTTAAAGGGACTACTTTCAGTTAGGATTATTCTAAAATCTTTCTCATAAACATATACCTGTTACATTTATAAGCCAATAGTAACTGATGAGAAAGTTGTATGGTTATACAATATCTTGTGGCTCAATTCTTTTTTTTTTTTTTAATTTTTTTTTTTTAATAGAGGCATGTTTATTTATTTATTTGTTTGTTTGTTTGTTTTGTTTATACATGCACTGGGTACAGTCAGAAGCACGGGAGGGTGAGAGAATTCACCAGAGCCAGAGCGGAGAACAGAGCAGGCAGAAGGACCAAAGTACACTGCTGAGGGGAGCAGCGGGTGGCAGGAGAGGTCTGCACACCATGTGGGACCCTCCTCCGGTGGCCGGGGAGCAGCCGGGGATTGAACCGGTGCCGCTGAGGCTGCGGGCAGCTTCGCAACCCAGAGCTCAACCGCTGCGCCACCGGGGAGGCCCTCAATTCTTAATTTAAGGATATAGTGTGATCTCAAGCAGAGGTTAGCAAATTTTTCAGTAGGGGGACTCATGGTAAATAATTTAGGTTTTGTGGTCCACACGGTCGCTATTGCAACTATTCAAATTTACTATTCAAATTTACTAGTATAGTAACCAACCAGCCATAGACAATATATAATGAATGGACATATCTTTGTTATACTACACTTTATTCATAGAGACTGACTTATATTTTACTTATGTTTCACATTAGGAAATAGTCTCATTTTTACGCTGTTTCATCCATTTAAAAATGTAAAAAATCATTCTTACTTAGCTTGCAGGTTGTACAGAAGCAAACAGAACAGATTTGGTCTTAGGCCATAGTTTGTCTCCAACAAAGGGGAACTAGACTCTGATAATAAATTTCAAGAAAGCTTTAAAACAACCTAATTGAGGGCTTCCCCTGGTGGTGCAGTGTTTGAGCGCTGGGCTGCGAAGCTGCCCACAGCCTTTGCAGCACCGGTTCGGTGCCCGGCCACCGGCGAGGGTCCCACATGGTGTGCAGACCTCTCCTGCCCCGCCCGTTGCTCCCCTCAGCGGTGTATTTCGTTGGTCTGCCTGTTCTGTTCCCCGCTCTGGCTCTGGTGAATTCTCTCACTCTCCCATGCTTCTGATTGTACCCATTGCGTGTATAAATAAATAAATAAATAAATAAATCTTTAAAAAAAAATTTAAAAACAAAACAAAACAAAACAACCTAATTGAGATGGTTCTTAAATGGCACTAGGCACTGTGTTAGCATCCTGTACATAAATACTCAGGAAATATTTGTAAAGTGAATGAATAACTTCCAACATTACTGTCTATACTGGTCTGATCGGTAAGGCACCAAATGCTACAATATCCCAAGGTTAACTCTGCTGCTTATACACACCTCTCCTTTTTCATTCTGTTTTTGAAAATGCCACTGTTAGAATCACTAATTATTTGGATAACAAAGGTAGGAATTTTCTTCTGTAATTATTAAAATGAATAGGAGGAAGTATACCAGTTTATCCTTTAGTAAAAAACTTGAAAAATTTGAAATACAAGATAGGTAAATTTTAGATGATGAAAGGAGAAAGAAGCACAAAGTGAAGCTGTTGAAAGGAATACACTCCAAAAAAAAAAAAAAAGAAAAAGAAAAAAAAAATGGCTTTCTCAATAGTATGATGATTTGGTATTAATCTGGTTATCAGGAGGAATAAATGAACTCTAAAAAAAAAGTTTAAAATCAGCACAATTTCCCTTACTATGCTTATATTTGAAATAATGGGCTCTTCAAATGTATCCATAAATGCTGCTTATAGAAAAAAAATTACATCTATCAGCAAGAGAAGCAAATTGGGAAAACAAACTTTGTAGTGATTCATTTAATGGAAAGGTGAAGTGTTTAAAAGACCACAAAATACTACTGTTAACATGAAAATACCAATCTACTTTCATAGCAATTATTCCTTGAAGTGGAAATTTCCTATTTTAGTGAAGTATTCAATTGAAGGGATTTTTTTCTGACTCTCTTCAGGTTTGAAAATGATTACATGATACACAATGCTCTATTATTTTATTTTATTTATTTATTTTTTAAAAAGATTTATTTATTTATTTATACAAGCACTGGGTACAGCCAGAAGCATGGGAGGCTGAGAGAATTCACTAGAGCCAGAGCGGGGAACAGAACAGGCAGGCTGACGAAGAAATACACTGCTGAGGGGAGCAGCAGGCACAGCAGGAGAGGTCTGTGCACCATGTAGGACCCTCGCCGGTGGCCAGGGTTGAACGGGCACTGCAGAGGCTGCGGGCAGCTTTGCAGCCCAGTGCTCAACCGCTGAGCCACCAGGGGAGGCCCTGCTCTATTATTTTAATATTACATTTCAAACTACTGTCTACAATGAATTAATTTTTATTTCCTGATAACTATCAAATCATTTATTTTAGCTAATGAAGCAGCACTGAAGTCTAGATATATCAATACCACTGAATTTAAAAAAATGATTGAAAATAAGAAATTACACTCACAGATTTCCAGGGAATATTTTGGAAGGCTTGCTGTACACAGTGATCTTTTTCTCAAAGGGGAATAAAAAATCCACAAAAAAATTAGCTGTCAGAAAAAAATGAAAAGCAGAAACCAAAAAAATAAAACAAAAGTAAGATCATACATATTTTTGTTTGATAAAAGAAAAAAAATTTAAATGTCTTTACAGTGAATTCTTTCTCATTAAAAAAACAAACTCTTGAAACACATATAACTTGTTTTCTTACTGCAGTTTTAACCACTTTCCAGCCTGATGTGTCTTGATTGTAACCTATAAGTTCTTGGACAGTTTGTTGGGCAATGGCCTTATAGTCCATCTACCTGCAAAGTTTTAAAAACAAATGATGGTAAAAATGCCATGACGCAAAATGTTTTTTAAAATGTGGTATTATGTTTTAATACTATTTCTACAGTGCCTGTCACATAACAATGAACAATAACTACTTGTTGAAGCATAAATGCACGAATCTCTTCCTCCTTACTCATAGTCTTTCAAATGCGAAAATGTGGTAGAGTACAAAGAGTTGGTTTTGGAGGTAGTGAGACCTGGGTCAGGTCCTTTCTCTGTCACTAATTGTTTTAACCATGTTAAATAATATTTGTTTCCCCATTTGCTCATGATACAAAGCTGGGATAACATCTGACACATACTACTCATTCAATAAATCACTATATCTAACAGCTTTATCACGAATCCTTTGTCTTGTAAAGCAATCTGTTAATACTGTGCTTTTGGAATAAAACTTTATAAAGTGAGAAGCAGTGGCACCCAGTGAGCTGACCCTTCACTACTCTCAAAGATAACTCCTATTTATCTTCTCTCCCGATTGTATTGGCTGCGTGGCTATTCCTCAAATACAACCAAGCAATTGACTACCTCAGGGTCTTATACTTGCTGTTCCCTTTGCTTATAACATTCTTTTACAATATAAATGTCTTTATCAGTGTCTGCTTAAATGTCACCTCTTTAGAGAGAATCAAGTTCAAATTCATTGACTTTAAACGCACTTACTGAACATTATAGGAGTTAGGTACTGTGGGAGGTGTGGTAAAAACAGTTCAGTAAGATACTGTTTATTCTGTGAATGATGAGTTCAAGAAGCTGGAGTTTCATTGGTCCTTTTGACCACCCTCCAGTTTTCAGTTAGGGGATACTTGTTGGTATGGTGAAAATAATGTTGACGACACAGAGCCTGATTCATCTCCTGAACTCTGATTGCACTAGCTATATTATTTTGGCTAAACTGCTTAACTGTGAACTTCAATTTTCACATCTGTAGAATGGGAATAATAATCCCATCTCTTGGGGTCATTATAAGGATTAATTTAGTTAAAATGTAAAAGCAATCAAAATAGTTTGTAGTCCCCTTTAGGGATCAAGGTTAATTTCTTAAAATGGACAAATTCAGATCTACCTTTTAAAAATCTCTCTAAAGAGCAGCCTCAATAACTGTTGCAGACATGTCTCCCTTCGCTCTCATCTGAAGCTCTTCAAGTTATATCACAGATGTATATTTTTTGTTTAGTTTTCAGGTAAGCACAGCACCTACCTAACATCTAGATTTGAAAAGCTTTAGTAAACCATTATAATTGCCTCTTTCTTCTCGATTTTTGGTTTCTTTACCTTTCCTAATAGAGCTAGTTGAGAATTTTAATTACTACTGGGATTCTTCTCCAAATCCTCCTGGAGACGGCCATCTCAACCTGTGAAGGAACAAAGTGGAAGTAGAATTATTTTGATCCATGAAATAGGTCAATGCATTTGAAAATTTCCTTTCTATTTTATCAGTGTCCTGTATTTATACTTGGTGTTCATATTAGGGAACATTTGCTATATATGTCCCAAGAAGGAAGAAAAAGGCAATATGAGAAATGTCAAAGATACTCTTTATGAAAAGAATTTTCAAAAAATTATTTTAAAGAAGGACAAGACAAAAAGACATGTAGGTGGAATGAGGATTTAAAAAAAAATCTGAGTTCATGACATTAACTCTTCCTTGGTTGTTCTCTGACTGGGGCTTGTTCTAGCATATGTAACATAGATCTTCACTCCCTATCATATCATAGAACATACCTATGAAGTGTAAACTCCTGTAGGAACTTGGTCTTACTCATTTTCAAATCACTAACACTTACTGCCACAATATACATATGTTTGACCACTCAACTAAATTTTATAACTTCTGGATTTCTTCATTTCCTAAAAAGGGAAGATTAAGTTCATTCAGCAGGCTACAGAAGTTGAAAAGAAGAAAGAGTAAACAGTAAGACTATACTAGTATTACTTGGTGACGTTAACTTCAGATGAGCTTGAACACATTCAGAAGCCATAATGGTCTAATAAGATATCTTCACCCACACGGTCAGTGGAAAATAAATATAAACCAATATAGAGATGGAATCTTTTTTTTTTTATACACCACTTACTTGATTGAAACTGGATTCTTTGCACCTCATATCTTGTCCCAGCCTTGCAGTCAGGTTCACACATGTTGTTACGGGGTCTTTACATTTGTTTGAATAAATCTCCCTCTTTCTGGGCCCCCTAACTGGGTCCCCAAGCCGTGCTGGGTCACTGCCATTCTTACCTGGGAATCGAAGTCCCATGGAGTGTGTTAACCCCCATCCCTGGCCAAACTCCTTTTTCCAACCCCACAACTGGTCTGCGTGCGAGGGGCTGGTTGGAAGTGGGGGCTGTGGGGGGTCAGTGCTGGGGCAGCTAGAGGGAAGAAGTCAGGGGAGCTGCGTCCCTAGTGGAGAGGTGTCTCATCCTGCGAGAGGGTGCTCTCACAGTCGGGGTGCTCTCACAGTCGGGGTGCCCAGCTCACTTGGACGGAATGCGGCCGTAGGGCTGGCTCTCGGTGACCTAAAGGGCAGTCTCCAGCACCCCAAATCCCCTTCCCCACTCGATCTTCTCACACAGCCCCCAGATGTGTGACCAGCCAGCCAAACGCAGTTCAGCGTGTCCTCTGCGCAGACTGGCCTCGGTGACCCGGTGCAGTGAACGCCCTTCCCTCCGAAGAGGAGGAGGGAGAAACTACACTTCCCAGCAGGGGTTGCGGTCTAACGCCCCGCCCTTCCCCTCCCCAGGCCCCGCCCCTCTGCCCCGCTCGCACCCCCCGCGCGCGCGACACTACGCATGCGCACCGCGGCCGGCGCCATGTTTTGCTGTTTGAAAGCGAGCGCGGGCGTCGCGCTGCGCTGTGACGGCGGAGGGCGCCGCCGGGGCCGCTGGCGGGGTCGCGTCCGCGTCGGGGATGCTTTGTCGCGCGTCCCGTCCGGTAACGGGCCTGGGCTTGCGGGGGAGACCTGAAGTGTGTGTTTTTATCTCCTTTTGGGCCTTCGTCGGTGAGTTCGACCGAAAAGGGGGTGTGTTCTCGTGGGGCGTTCGTCTTTTGACAGCCCGAACAGGGGGTGTCGTTTCCTGAGGGGTCGCGAGATCAGGGGATCCGTGGGAGGTGGGGAGCCTTGTGGGGAGGGGGCGCTGTTGGGGGACGGGGCGGAGCCGGACGGGGGACCTTGGACGTGGGGCTCGGGGCCTCGAGTGGTCCCCTTGGGCTTCGGGGTCGTCCCCTTGAAGGGGCGCCCTTCGCCCACACTGGCGCTCGCGGGGCTGCCTAATGCATTTTTTTTTTTTTGATAGAATAAACAAATGTTTTAAATTCCTGCTATGAGTGAGACCATGAGGTATTTTTCTTTTATAAGGGACCAGGAAAAAGACCAATTATAATAAAGTCAGAGTCAACAAGCAATTATAAACCAGAGACACACTATGGGGGTGGAGGTGAGAAGGGAGTAGGGTCAAAATAAGGGGGGTAGGAATTGTATGGGGACTGCAAACACGATGAAAATGCATGCATTGTGCAAAAATGAAAAATGATGTAAAAATATGTAAACTAAATTAAAAAAAGTCTTTTCTGCCTAATATGATCTGCAGATTCAATGCAATCATTATTCCCAAAAGGGCTTTAAGAAAAAAGTAGGATACTTTAAAGAAAGTATCTTATCTGTAATGTGATATGGTTATAATGTATTGCCTAATCTGAAGAGATAAGAATAGCATTTCACTTTAAAAATTGAAAAAAAAAAAGATGAACTGTGGCCATTTTCAACAGCATGGATGAAACAAGAGGGGATTATGTTAAGGGAAATAAATCAAAATGAGAAAGACCAAAAAAAAAGAATAAACAAATGTTCTGTTATTGAGCTTTTATATAATGAGCTATTATTTCTAAGATTTGTTCTCACTGTCCTGTGTTTTAGTCTCGTTGGTTACTTAACGCTGAACACTTTATTTTGAATCAAGGGAGTTGAAGTTTCTGGCCATCGGTTTAACATTCTATTTGGAAGGATGGATTTCCTTTTGAAGATAAGAATGACAGTATTTATGGAGGAAATGGTAAGCTCTGTGGATGTGGTGGTTGAAGTGGGTGGGCAAAATCTGTGGACCGGGTGGTAAGTGTTTGAAGCACGTAATGGTTGTATTTTATAGGGGGTTGATTAAATTGTGCATTTGACTTTTATATGCTTTTGAAAATGTTCCTTAATAACGGAATTGTGGGTTTTGTTTTGCCTGATGAAAATGTTACACATTTACTGAGAACTGACACCTTTCCCTTTTAGGGCTTTGTTTTTGCTTTTACAATTTTGTAAAATAAAATTGGTGGACCTATATTGTGTTTGAATAAGGATGAAAATGTTTAGTGAAGTTTAAGCAATAATTTGCTTTAAGTGTCATTATTGAGAGGGTGAAGAAAGGGCAAAGCTGACTTTGTCTAGCCATTCTTTAGCGATACAGGAAAATCACAGTGTTCAAAGAGGCTAAATATTATCTTACTGTTGTGCTGCTGCTTCCATTGACTGCTGTCAGCTCTCTTGCAAAGGTGGTTGACAAGCTCTAAGGGTGAGTCAGAATGACCTTGCCTTTAAATTGAAAACTTTCAGTATTTTAAAGTGAAATTTGACAGCTATTAAGATTATATTAAAAGTTGTGGTAACTTAGAACACTTCCAATTAATTTTAAAAGAATGGCATTCCTGTACTAAAGTAGTACCTTAGGTTTTCAATATAGATCCTGTTATTACTATGTAAAAGTAGACAGGAATTCCCTTAAATTTGATCATGGAAAAACAGTAAGATGATTTTCAAATTATTTGTCTTTTTTGAAAGAGGTGGGCTGGGTGTTTAACACAAGAATTGAATATAGCGTAGACCAAAATTAAGGACAGAAGTATGATAATTAACAATGTTATTTTAGGAAAACAACATTTTATTAGCTCATTTTATACTAGGATTTGTAGTTTAGCTCTTTATGGGTAAGTATTGTAAATTATTTTGTTCGTGAACCTTTTTTTTGGAGGGAAGATGTTGGCTAACATTACATACTGACATCTACAAAATTGAAAGTGGAAATTCTTCCTTATTCTTTCTTGTTTATGTTATCTTATTTGATGCCTTTAAGTTTTTTTGCAGATGGCCACTATCTGCAGTACATGATGGTGGACTTATGAATTGAAAAATATTCTGTTTAGGGAAATGTTAGGTATTGTGATGTCATAGTCTCTATCACCATAAGAAAATACTACATCAGTAATAGGACTTTTTTTTAAAAAAGTGAGTACTTGTCATTTGGTATTTTTCATACATATTCTCAGCTAATTTTAAATACATCATTCCAGACACATAGTAGGTGCTCAATAAATGTTTTTTAATTATTGATGAAGAAATTCACAATAATTAAAATAACAGAAAATCTATAATAAACATTTTCTAAAAAGGAGTATTTCTAGATAACGAATTTTATTCTTTAAAGAAAACATAAGTTTACATAATTAGTAATTCCTCTACATAAGACTTATTCCTTTAATTGGAACCTTTTGTTTTTGTATTACAGTTTTTAAGAGAAATGAATAGAAATAATCTGTTTTGAAGATGCCATGGCAAAATCAAATACAAAATACAGAGTTTGCTCTCGGGAATCTTCAGTGTCTTCTCTGTTGTCAAGCTGCAGCCTGAGTGATAGTACTTCCTCTAAGTCTGATGCTTCCTTTCAGTATAAGAACAAATTGTATAGCTCTGCTTCTCAGGCTCTGCAGGCCTATATAGATGATTATGATCTAAGCCAAGTGTGTCCTGGTACAAGCACTGGAAAGATTAACATTGATAAATGTTCTACTACTATGCCAGAATTCTCCAACCATATTTATAAACCAAACAATGGTATGCTTTTATTCTTTGTTTTCTTTTTTGTGAGGTGATTTAAAGCTTTTGAGAGATATGTTGTAGCCTTGGAAAGCTAGACTTTTTTGATGTTGTTTTGAGGGTAAAATAACTTATAATATTGAGATCTGGATCATTTCTTAAATATTCTATAATTCTTGGTAATTTTCAACTAAGATCATCTTTTGACCTTGGAGGAGAAGGTGATGAATGTATTTAATAATAGTGGGTAGCTGTTTCTAAACTTTTCAGCCATTTTATTGTAGCATAATGGAAAAAACATTGACTTAGGAGTTCTAGTTTTCATTAATGAAATTTTTTAATTTAAACTCAACCTTTGTAAGTTTATAATTGATCATCCCAGTTGCTAGGTTCGGACTACATTAGTCTTCCAGATCTCTGTTATATGTCACAAAATGTTGAATTTTTCTTGATAAGGCTTCCATGAAGACAAATTTAGAAAATGCAAATGTTGATAACCTAGTTTATATTTTACCGAACACTTAGGGAATGACTATAGAATGGAAGAAAAATTGCATTCAACTCTTAGAGAGATGTGGGCAGTATACTCCAGAAGAGGAGAATTAGAGTAGCTGTTCTCTCATTGTTAATGCTATTGCAGGGTTAGTAGGTAAGGACACAAATACTTTTTCCATCTAGTTTAATATCATTTCCTCCCTCTTGCTGAAGCCAGTATTGGGTCATTGATATTAATGTGAGTGTATTAGTACTTTGGGTATGTGTAAGATGAAAAAAGGTGACAAACAGTAAATTAATGCACATGGGAAAATTCAGGAGGTTGGAAAAAAAGGTGTTGAAATTAAAAAGATATGAGGGGGGGAAAAAGCACATCCTGTGTCATCAACCTATACTTTTAATACTTTAATCAGAGCTTTAGTGAGGATAGAGTGGTAAAAATGATTCTTAAATTCTTAATTCTCACTTGCTATTGAATATGATGAAATATTTTTATGTGCTAAAGAAAAATAAAAATTACTTTGTTTTTCAGCTTTTGAAACTATTGATCACAAAAAGAACTCCTTTTCCTTATCTTATAGAAGACAGACTGTTAACGACATAGATTCTATTAGCCTAACAACTGATGATCTATTAAAACTTCCAGCAGATGGATCATTTTCTTTCACTTACCTTGGACCAGGTCACCGAACTAGTAAGAAAATCAAGAAAGGCACTGGAAGACTGAATTCATCAAACACTAAAAAGAATGAAACTTTTGAAGAGCTCTCCCCTCTCATGGGCAATGATAATTTAGTTACTCCTGTTATATATACAAATATGACTGGAAAGCAGTGTGGTAGGCTGAGAAACCCAAAACTTGTGAAAAAGACTAATAAATGCATTCCTGAACCATCTTTTTTGAAGAAACCATCTTTCAAGGGCAATTCAGAACACAATCTTGAACAAAATTACCCAAGATGGTTCACTAGCCAGAAATCTGAACTCAATGTTTCAGGGATAACTAGTATACCTGATTTCAAATACCCAGTCTGGCTCCACAATCAAGATTTGCTACCTGATACAAGTAGTAAAAGAATTTATAAAATATTTAAAGAAGATCATTGTTCCCCTAGACATAGTTACCAGGCACAAAGAACTTCTCGGCTTATGAATAAATTAGATTGTTTTGAATATTCTTTTGAACCTTCAAACATTTCAAATTCCTTGAATGATGATAAAGGATTAGTTAATGAATATACATGTGATTGTGATCATAGCCAGTGTCAATGTGAGAGTCTGCTTCTTCCAGGACATTCCAAAAAGCCATTCAGTGGTAATTGTTTTGTTTTGTTTTTAAGAACCAAAGACAGTGCTTGTATGTTTGATAACCTCTAGAAGATTTTGTGTTGTATTCCTGATGTGATGATCAGGTGATCCATGTTTTTTGAACTGTTATGGTCTTCATTTATGTAGCATTTTTGTGTCAAGAAAATGTCTTTCTTCCTATGAAACACATTTTAACATAATTTAATGTCATAGATAAGTGTATATTCCAAAGTATCTGAATTCATGTTGCTTTTGTGATTTTGCTGTACTTTGCTTTAATTTTTCTCCTTGAAAGAATTAATGTAATCTTTTAAATTAGGTGACAAAATTGAATTGCTTATTCTGAAGGCCAAGAGAAATCTAGAACCTTGTTCTGAAGAATTACCAAAGTCTATGAAAAAGGATGACAGTCCTTGCTCATTAGATAAACTTGAAGCAGAAAGATCATGGGAAAATATTCCTGTTACTTTGTAAGTTACAATGCAAAAACTGTTTAGTTTTCCACATGAAAAATATCACGTGAATATATGCTCTTTTAAATAATTTAGTGATAAATAACATGGTCCTTCAGTAGAGCATAGCTGTGCTGTGTGCTTTAAGTTGTATTTTTCATTTGTTGCCACAAGATGGTGTGATGTGTTCTTTTTGTTGCACTATTGAAATATTGGTGTATGTTTAGTTTGAATTAGAACTGAAAGCAGCTATTTTGCAGAATGAGAAATGGTATGAAATTCTTGTTTCTTTTTAAGCTTCCCTGTCTCTTCTTTTTCTATATTTTTTTTTTCATTTACATTTTAATTTTTCTTAGCCTTTTTTTTGCTTAAATGATGGTGCATTTTTCTTGTGTGGTCTATTGCATAAATTTTTGTAGTTTCTGAGATTGTTTTCATTTTTGTGCTTAACTTTTCTATGATCTAGCATCTCAGCATCACTTGAAGTGTTTGCCTAGATACCTGTGAATGTGAGTATGTAGTAAGAATTGGGAGCTTACATAGGAAAGCTTTTATTTTTAGTGCAATTACTACATCTGGACTCATCAGAAATGTAGAAAATGCATTCTTGGTAATTCTATATCATGCTGCCTTAGATTCTGATAATTTATTATCTTCAGTTGTCTAAACTTTCATTCTGTAATTGTCAGAATCTATTAAATTCCTGAATCATTTCTGATTACTTCTTAGTTGCATGTCTTATTGTTTGGAATGTAGACACTATTCCAATTTGGAATCCCTACAGTGTCACTTCCTTGCTGAGAGAGACTTTGTACAAATAACTTATACAAAATACTTGGGCATTGTTGGCAAGGATTCAGTTAATTAGAAAATAATCATGACAGTTGCTGACTTACGGTGAGTTCTCTTATAAACAGTAAGTGGTTTTTCCCCATTTAGCTTTATTATTCAATTGTTGGTTCAATGATCTTTTAAAAATGGGTTGATAATCAGCTCACTTAATTCTTTTTTCTTAATTTCTTATTTTCTTCAATTGGTTTGTAAAATAGTGTAGCAGTTAATACTTTGCTATCAATTGAAACTAAAGCAGGTGAGTAAATAATATCATATGTTTAAATTAAGAGTAGTAATTTTGAATACATTCATAATTTGTGGGGATTTTGAATATTATCATTAACCAATAGTGGCTAATTGAAAAAATGTAGTGCTATTTGAAACAAATGAGTTTTAGAACATTGCCTATAGTTGAAAATGTCTTTGTTTGGTTGAAGACCAGTGTCCAGTTCCGTTATAGTTTTTCCTTAAAGTTTTAAAAGAAAAACAAGGAGTTAGATTCTGGTACCCATTTCGGGGGATGAGGAAATTACCAAGCGATAGCAATACAAATCGTTTCCAAATAGTTATTTCTTGGTGACCATTTGTTTTTAAATGATAACTGTTCAACTATGTACTAATTTTTGAATACTAAGAACTTAATTTCTATCTCTTATCCTTAAATTCTATTTAGCAAATCTCCTGTTCCTGTTAATTCTGATGATAGCCCCCAACCAACTTCAGGGACAAAGTGTTCTAAAGGGTTCCTTGAAGACTTTTTAAATAATGATAATCAGGTGGGTGAAATTAAATTCTTTTAACTTATTAAAGGTGACTTATGATTAATATATAGATATTAATTTCTAAATTATTTAGAAATTATAAAGAAAGACCCTGACATCCTCTTCTCCGATACATATCCATAAAGCCATCATTCCTAGAATGACTGATAATATTATTTTAGATTTCTAGAGTGAAGAGATCTGGGATTGAATTTTACAATGAAAGCCTAAGTTGTCTTTACAATGTTTTATTTTTTTTTCTGCAAGACAAAACGTTATCATAGAGTAAATTATATTTTCCCATTGGGCGATTGATTATTGAGAGTTGTGTTTCTAATTAAGATACAGTTATAATCTTGTAATTTAAAATAGGAAGTTAACCAATTTTATTTATTTATTTTTATTTATTTATATAAGCACTGGGTACAGTCAGAAGCGTGGGAGGGTGAGAGAATTCACCAGAGCCAGAGTGGGGAGCACAACAGGCAGAAGGACCGAAGTACACTGCTGAGGGGAGCAGCATGCGGCAGGAGAGGTGTGCACACCATTGTGGGACCCTCGCCTGGTGGCCGGGGATTGAACCAGCGCTGCAGAGGCTGCGGGCAGCTTCGCAACCCCAGTGCTCAACTGCTGCGCCACCAGGGAGGCCCTAACCAATTTTATAAAATCAGCATATGTGCATTTTGTAGGTAATCCCCAAATAAAGCATAAATGTATATTTATGCACACGAGAAATGAGATATAATTTTTTTTGGAATATAAACCATGACCATCAAATATTGAAATAATTGTTTGGGGATCTTAACATCTGGATGATTTGAGAGGTTGAGCACTCAAACAAAAATTAACTGAAAAATTTAATCTTTTCCTTTTGTGTGTCTTTCTCTATTAGAGAAAGTAGAGGCTGTCAGAATATGTCTGACCTTATAGCTGTATATAAGGTAGTACAGAGTACTAAACTTTTCTAGGAACTGTGTTTTTACTATAAGAGGAAACCCTTGTGTCTTTGGACTTTTTATTCTGGTTGGAGAGATAAACTAAGTAAAAATATGACATGATAACTATGTGGTTACTGTATGTATAGTGAAGAAAAATTGGGATAGAGAAGTGAGGGTACAATTTGATAGAGTGGTCAAGAAGGGACTTTCTAATGAAGTATTTGAGCAGAAACCTAGAGTAAGTGAATAAGCCAGGTACCCAATAGGGGAATAAATTTAGATGTAGAGGTAATAGGGCAGAAACCCTAAGATAGAAATAGGTTTGGCATGGTTGGGGACTATCAATGTCTGTTCATTGTAGCTCAATCAGAATGAACTTGGGAAGGCATAGTAACAGTTAAAATTAGAGAGGTAACCAGGAGCCAGATCATATAGGGTCTTATAAACCATGGCATGTAAAATCTGTTTTATTTAAGTGAGATAGAAGTTACTGGAGGGTTTTGAGTGTAAGAATGAGATGATCAGATCTGCATTTTAAAATATAAAATGTCAGCTATATGGAACATAGACTTAAGAGGAGTTGGAAAAGGAGCAAGAATCTCAGGAGGCTTTTATAATGTTTTATGATAGGAATTATGGAGGCTTGGATTATTGTGGGTATATTGGAGGTGATCAGAAATTGTTAGACTTGAGATGCATTTTGAAGGTACATCTGATAAGATGTAGTTAAAGAGGATGCAGAGAATGAATCCCAGATTGGGTGGTACCAGTTACTTAGAGGAAGAAATTCTCAGAAATTCTTAAAATTTGAGATGGGTGAATATTAAAAACCAGTTTGACCCTTTTCTCTGCCCATTCATATGTTTTTATTTTCTGAAAATAATTTTAGATATACAGAAATTTTCAAAATTAATACAGATTGTTCCTGTCACCCTTCTTTTTGCTTCCCTAATGTTAATATTTCACATAATCGTTTTATAATGATCAGACAGGCAGTTAACAATGGCATGTTCTATTAATTACAGACCTTTTTCTGATTTCACCAGTTTGTCTACTGTATTATTCCAGGATCCAGCATTTCATTGTCAGTGCTCCTTAATCTGTTTGAATCTGACATCTTCTCATTCTTCCTTGTCATTACCTTGACACTTTGGAAGAGTGCTGGTCAATTTGTAGATTGTTTCCCAATTTGGGTTTGTCTGAAGTTTTCCCATTAGAATGAGGTTATGCTTTTTTGAAAACAATGTAATGAAAATGATTCTCTGCATCTGTCAGAGGGTTCATGATAAATTGGTATTATTGATATGTATCTAAGTCAGTTTGGGCTTTTTGTAATAAATATGCTATTTTTACATCAGGTACACCATTTTACATTCCTGTTAACTTGTTCTCTAAACTGTGGAGTGTCTTTAAAATCTTTAGCTATTATGCTTAACTTTGAATCTGTTCACGAGTGAGTCAGCTTCTAATATTTTAATGTTAGTCAACAATTTCCTCTAGACTTGAAATGTAAATAATACATATATTTTGCCTATGCTGAACTGTTGTTAAATTACAGACATCTTGAGAGGCATTATTGCTCCTTTGTGGCTATTTATCAGGACACTAGCAACTCATTTGAAATATGTAAAAATAACGGTTGGTAAATCTTTTAAAAGAAAATTTAAAATATTCTTTGTTGATTCTCTTAAAAGAATCTTAACCACCTTATGTGGCCAAGTGCCGTTTCCTTCTTTTGACACAGGTTAGATTAGTGGTAATAAGTACATAGTGTTCATGAAGAGCTAAAAAACTGGTATTCTCTGTGTGACATTTAAAAGTATGCAGTTTTTTGTTGTTCTTTTTCTAGTTCCTTGAGATGTGAGATTAGGTTGTTTCTTTGAGTTCTTTCTTGTTTCTTGATATGAGCCTGTTTTGCTGTGTATTTTCCTCCTATTACTGCTTTTGCTGCATCCCATACATTTAGGAAATTGGTGTCCTCCTTGTCATACAACTCAAAGTATTTTTTTAATTTCTTCTTTGATTTCCTCATTAGTCCAGTGAGCTTCCGGCAGTGTGGGTTTCAATCTCCGTGAGGTGGGAGGTGTCCTTGCCTTCTTTTTATGGTTTATTTCTAGTTTGATGCCTTCATGGTCAGAGAAGGTGGTTGGTATGAAAAAAAAAATAAAAGTATGCAGAGAATATTTGAAATTCTATAATCAGCTTTATTTATATACCTGAAAAGAGCATATTTACTTACGTGCTGAGGACTTCTCAGTTCTAATCTATGATTTTAAATGTACTAAATGGGTTCCTTGCAAATGTAAGCATAATATTTATTTTAAAAGAGCAGGTACTGGAAAGGATATGTCAAAGTGTTAGTGATTAGCTCCATCTGGGGGCTAGATATGGGAAAGTCGCAAATTACAATTTTTTTTTCTTGAAATACTGTGGCATGCATTGTTTGGATTTTTGTATTAATTTATGTTGTGGAAAAAGTATACAAAATATACTCCCCTCCAGGTTTAATCACTCATTTGTTTTAATCTTAGAGCTGTACACTTTCTGGTGGGAAACATCATGGTCCTGTTGAAGCCTTGAAGCAAATGTTATTTAATCTTCAAGCTGTACAAGAAAGTTTTAATCAGAATAAAACCACAGATCCAAAAGATGACATTAAGCAAGTAAGCAGAAACTTGATTTATGAATTGAGGTCTGTGAAAAGATTTCTTCCCAGTTATTTTTTCAGATTGGCTTTTAGTTTTATGTTAGTAAGATGTCACATAACACATGTTGTAGAGTTGTACTATTATTTTATTACTCATAAAAGTTTCATTTTTTATTTAGCTTTCTGACTCTGCTTGTGTCTTTAACACTTTCACAACAATTTTCTGCTTCTCAATAAGAAAAGTCTGCTTGATCCTGTGCTGGACACACTTAGCACACATGGAACCACCTTAAGCCCTGCTGATACGTTTTAGATTGCCTCCTAGAAACTGTAGGTCTCAACAGCACGAGCTCCTTGAAGCCAGCCTGGTCACATCCCATGTGCATTCCACACGTAGATTTGCTGCTGTCCCAACTTTCTTGGTTAAAGGGAAACAATTCTGTTGTTTACCAGGGATTTGGGAAAGACTAGTTGTGTTAGTGACTGTATTTGTAGGGTAGCCTATGATGGTGTATCAGCCACTGAACCATTCTGAATGCCTCTAGACACCATCCCTGGAAGAGGCCTATTTTTAGAAAGTAATTTATTCAAATTTAATATCATTAAATTTCTGCAGTTGTATATCTCTGAATGGGTATTACTGTTCTGTTTATGGTTATAAATAAATCTTGAGATACGATGGTACAACTATAGTATGAAAGGGTGGTAAGAGTTGTTTTTTAATGTCCTACAAAATTATTCTGTATCGTCCACAACTTGCTACATTTATATTTGGGAAGGCCTGGAAGACCTTTTTGCCATTAGATTTCTCTCTGTAACTACCATCTGAAATTTAATTTTGTTGTTTTATTTATTGTCTCTACTGAATATAGTTATGTAAAGTTTTATTTTTATTTATTTTTTAACTAAAGTAACATTGGTTTACAACTGTATAAGTTTTAGAAGTATAGCTTCACATTTCAACAAGTATATATATTCCACCACTTAATGGTCTAATATCCGCTATTATCCAGTCAATCCTTAATACTATTCCTTACAACTCCACCACCCCTTAAAGTTTTATTCTAAAACTGTTGTATTTTTGTATATTTCCTAGGAATCTGAAAATCTTTTTCTACTTTGGGATGCTATTCTGTGGAGGTTGAATTTTTTTTCATAATAATGTAGTGTTTACACACATATTCTTCCAAGTCTGATTTTCAGTTCTAATACTGCTACTTACTAGCAATTGCAGTGTTTGTACGAGTAAATCATTTAACCTTTTTAGTTTGTTTCCTCTTCGGTAAAATGAGGTTGTTCAGAAGATAAATTGAGACATAACATGTGAAGTACTTAATGTAGTGCTTGGTGTCTGGCAAAAATTTAGTACCTAGGAAATAGTAATTGTTTTGTGGAGCTTTGTGAAGCAGTGAAACTTTATGAAATTTAATTTTCATTTCAAATAAATGGATCAGCTCTTGAGAGCTCTCACAGCCTAATTATTTAAATTATATTTCATAATTTTTCTTACTATATTCTAATGATCGTACCGTTAACAATAGATTGTGACCCACTCTTCTTTTCCCTCCCCTTCAAACAACATTGAGGTGTGACCCTGTTTAGTAAATTTGTAATTTCAATCCAGACTTGATTTTTATTGGACATAAGTTTAAAAGCTTATTGAAAGATGGATTGAAAAATATTTAAAATAAAGAAAAAATAAAATATTTAATGCTTTACTAAAATGTATTGGCTAAATTGTTTTCTTGGAAATGAAAACAGTATTTTTAAATGTTCTTATTAATTACATATTAAATAGCATTTAAGTTTTCAGTTACATAACTTCAATATTTTGTTACATTTGGTGTTTTTAATAATAGGTTTCAGAAGATGATTTCTCTAAATTACAATTGAAGGAAAGCATGGTTCCTATTACTAGGTCACTTCAAAAGTAAGTATTGTCCACTAAATTTATAAATATGTTATGGTTACTAATCCATTTTAGTCATTCCTTGATTGAAATCAGAATGTTACAGGGTAGAATTAAGTAGTTCTAAGAACAGATATACTGCTTCTTTGAGCATATTAATTTAATTCTGAGGCTTTCTTTTGAGCCTATTGTATTGCCTATTTAAAATGTTCTTGGGAAAAAAAAAAAGAAAAATAAAATGTTCTTGGGCTCTTACAAGAATACCTGAGACAACTAAAGTATGATATATGAGAATGGTCTAGTGAGATTGTCTTTTCATTTCTGAGTAATAGCAGCAATTAGAGATATTTTTGGTGTGGATATTCTGTAAGAACAACATGTTCATGAAATGTGTTTTCATATATTTTCTCTAGAAAAAATATAATAATCAGAAATGTATCATTATTTGATATCTCTACAGACTATAGAATCCTGATTATAAGAATAGGTCTGACTATCCTAAGGGTGTTAATCCTTTTTCTTAGTTATATTACCTTAAATAAAGTGGGAAGCATACAAGTCTTTCCTTTAGTCACAACATTGATAGAAGAGTATTTAAGAGATTGTGTGTGTACATGAAGTGCTTTCAGAAGATGGAATCCTGAACTTAGGAAGTATTAAGACTAAAAATTTTTACTCTTATAACAATGAGTCACTTAGCTTTAAGGGGGAGTTCCTCCAGAATTTGTTAAGGTTGCTATTATATCTTTTTGTTTTTATAGTTTAGAAACTATGTATGTGTGATTTTTTTTCCCCCCAAACTCTACTTAATTTATAATCTTCAGCTTAAAAATAATGCCTCTCTCTAGCTTACCAGAGTACTTGGTTATAGTGTTTTATATATATATATATATATATATATATATATAATATATATATACCTAGTAGGATTTAGTGAATAACAATAATCATTAATAGTAATTGAGCATTTACCCAGTGTTACTGTTCTCAGTGCATGTGATCTTCATAACCCTAAATGAATACTATTATTATCCTAATAATGCAGATCAAGCAATAAAGATCAAATAAAGTAACTTACACAGTTATTGCATAGCTAGCAAGATGTAGTCCTGGGGTTCAAACCAGAGATCTGACTCTACAGGTTCTCTGAATCTAACACACTTCTAATTAATGTTAGTGGGGTAGTATCCATGCAGACTAGATGCAGGGCCTCAGTTACCTAGGATAAAGATCTTTTTCTGCTTTAAACTTTCAAATGGATGACATCAAGCTTACCATGTCTCTTAAACACTGATAGTGAACTTGTGTCACAAACTTAAATGTATTTTCTGAGTTAAAGTACATACCCTGGAAGAAATTTTTCTTAGTGAAAATAGGTGGTGTGCCTTAAGTAATTAAATGATCACTATAATTGATACGGATTGAAGGTGCTTTTACTATTTGCTGGGATTATTTAATAATATTGTTAACATTTTTCGACCTGACCATCAGTAATCTTGTTTACATATAGAATGCCATTTTCAGAGAGCAAGATTGATGCTTTGTTGATTTGTATTAACTCTTACTGTTCATCAATAGCTACATTATCATTAAAAAAAAGTTTCTTTTATTTCAGTTCTAAGATGATTGACTACTCATTGTTGTAATATCACCCTTAAATTTTTCCCTATTAGCATGCTTTCTCACTTTTTTAAAGAGAATCAAGAATAATTTCATATAATTGTATCGTCCATGTCTCCCTACAGGTATCTATGAAATAGTAATTACTTTTGAAAACCTCTAAGTGGATTGATTGTTTTATTCTTAGGGCAAATAAAGGTTAAAGGAAAGGAGCTGCCAGGTGATTGTTAGCTGAGGAAAGGGGACTGAATATGACACATTTCTACTTAGCCTTTTTATTCTTTCATATACTTCACCCATCTACCTTTCTTGCCTTTCTCCCTGAAATTGTTTCCTCAAGGCATAAATTACACAGGAGTAGAAGGAAATCTGTTATATTGAATTATGGCCATAAAAATAGTAAAATATCTAAATAGGAATATGTGCTTATTGTTTAAAAGAATATATTTAACGTGCAGTTAGGTTAAAATTCATTTTCTAAAAGTATGTTAATATGAAGTCCTTTCGCATAGCTTTAATGAAAGCATTAAACCTCAGTGTGACCTTTTATTTACTTTCATATTTAATCAACAAACAGTTGGAGAAAGGGAATATTGAAAAGCATTGATGTCTGGCTTACTAGTGAGACTAAACTATTCAGTGGATAACTAGGCTTAAAGTTGTCTAATAGTTGGCCATTTATGTCTTACAATCTTTTGGACTGTAAAACTATAGTCAGAAAAACTTAGATTACATATTTTTCTAGCAGTGACTTTAATAACATAATTTTGGGATTATTATGTGACTGCATAATTTTGAAGTGGTGGTGAGTATAAAAGATACTTTGGGATATTTACAGTGACTATTATGTGGTTAAGAAAAGCCGGTTTTTTTGGCTTATAAGGTCACAAATTTTGGTCTGTTGCTTATTTTCCTAATGGAAGAAAATGCTAATTTTTGATACCATTTGGTGAAAACAAAAATGTGTATTTTTTTTTTTTTTAACCATCTAATTTTAGAGATTCTGACTCCAAGGGATCTATGGCCCTCAAAGTTGTGAATAATTAGGATTCTAGCCATTTAACTTTTTCTTTCTTTTGAATCACAGTAGTTAAAAATAAGCCTGAAGAGAAAAAGAAAATTAAATCCCAAATGTATTTACAGAATATCTTCTTTCTCATAAATGTATCTCTAGGAAGAAGACAATTCTTTAGATAGAGATTTACAATAGAATGTAGAAATGATAGAGTCTAGTTAATTTTACCTCTGATTGTTCAGTAACTTTGGGTGAGTTATCCTTTAGTTACTGAAGATGAGAATCTAAAAAATTCAATTAAGTTGTCTAAAGGGTGACATAATCCAGATTTTTATTACATTTGAGTAAAGTGTTCAAGAAGTAAAGTGCAGGGAAACAGATAAAATGTAGTAATTAGCACTACTAGTTTTCTCCCATCCCCTTATTCTGGATAAAATAGGAGATTTTTTATTTAATATTATCCAATATTTATTTAACATTTCTTAAACCTATGTTAGAGACTGTAGAACTCTTTCAACTCCTCTTACAAATAGAAATTACTAACATTGTTTAAAGTAAAACAATATATTTGTATTATATAATTATATAACAATATATAGCTCCCTTACAAATAGAGATAACTGCACATTATAATTGTTTTTCTTAGTTCTCTTATTAGAGATCTGAAATATGGTTGACTAACTGACATTTTCTGAGTGGTCCTTAAGGATTTGAAGGATAAGGGGAGAAGAAAATTTGGAAGAGTAATTTTAGAGGAAGACTGGGAAGTTAAAGGCCTCTGTTTTCCTGGTTTGCTCCAAGGGTGATTGAGTTTTCTCATCAAGATCTGATCTTGGCTGATAGGCTTCGCTTTATTTTAGAGAAAAACCAGGTTGTTACTATACTACATTATTTGACATAATTGTTGCTGATTGTTACTGATTGTTCCCTTCCTCAATAAAATGGGTTTTCTTCAGAACTATAATTGATCCTTCAGTGCTATTTTTTTAAATTTAGCTATCTTGAAATACACATGTTAAAATTGAATTATGTACTTTCCTGCATGATATACACAGTAACCAAGAAAAGGTTGTCATTTCATAAAGCTGTTGTGAAAATTACATGGAAAATGTGGTACAGTTTATACCTACTGATATTTCTTACTAGGCTACTTATATTTAAAAAAAAAATTGATATATAAAGAATTTTAATTAGGCATTTATACATTTTTGATGAATTATTTTAACCCTCGGTTATACTTATTGTATCGTTTCATTTATCATACTAATTTTGAAGTTAATAAACAATGTAAATCTCCATTTCTTACTGTCTGCATTGCCTGTTCAATCCTTAATATTGGTTTATAATGTGTTTTATACTTTTTAATGAAGGGCATTGCACCATTTATCTCGTCTGAGAGACCTGGTTGATGATACCAGTGGGAGACAGTCACCGAAACTGTGAAGAGGAAAATAAAACTGTCTAACCAATAAATAGTCAACATAGAACAAAAATGTATTTTTCCTATTGCTTTAACTGACAATTATGATCCATACATTCTGCAGTCTACGATTTGAGCAAGTATTTTATCTATATGTGTGTGTGCGTGTGTATGTGTATATATATATATATATATATGTATGTATATGTGAGCCAAACTTGAAAATGTGCATAGATTTTGTGACCTGTCGTCTTGTGCCAAAATACCAAAATGTGAACAGGAATGATCAACTCTATGTCCTGTAGTCTGACTTTGGACTTTTGGCCCAGAAATGTCTAATATTCAGTGATTGATTTCTATTCTCGAACCTTACATGGACTCATTACCCTTCGTCAGTATCATTTTATTTTCTGGTTTTGGATCAATAAATTCTATCTGGTTTTTTCCTGTTTTTAAAGTTAAATGGATACTGTTATATACTGTTAAGAAATTTAAAGGAATATCAAAACTGTTATGGTGTATCTTATTAATATTATGGAAGTTTGTTACTTTTAAGCTTTCATAAATCACATATTTAGGATATGTTGTATTTGCAAGTAACAATAGCAGGATGATGCAATGGTGAAAGGAAGTTTCATTTTGTGAAATCTGTGACAACCTTATTTAACACTTTGTGTGTAAGATATTTTGATAATTCTTAATACTACAAAATATTTTTAGAGGAGATATTTGAGACTTTAAAAAATTTCCTAGCTTTTAGTTTTGCAGTTAACTCAAGCTAGTAAAAACTGAGGTCAGTGGCCAATTGATTTATGAAATCTGATAACTAAACTTAAAGAAAAGGAATATAAAATATCAGGAAAGCAACTCTAAAAAAGTTATTTTGTAAGAGGTGAACTTTCTTTAAAGCAGTCTGCAGTCTTTAAAGTTTGTCTGTAGCTGAAACTGAGCAGAGCTCTGTAATTTTGCCGCTTTATCCACATGAACTTCTAATAAGCAAGATTGATTTTCTCATCAAAAGAATTAAGTCATAAAACAAGACTGTGAAGCATAATTTTAAAAACTTGATTAGGGAGTATCAAGGTATGTTACAAATGCTACAAAATCACATGTTGCCCTAATGATAGCATCTCTGCTATATAACTTTATTGTGAAGCAAGAATGTTTTAATTGGCTTATAGAGTTTGTTCTCCCCCCTTGTTTAAATCTCTGTACTACCCTGTTATATAACTGGCGTATCAGAGATTGTAGTGTGAGCCCTGTATTATTCCTTGATGAGTTAGTCAAAGTCACCATACTGTTCTTTTCACCCAGTTTGAGAGATACTTGCCAATAAGTTTGTTTTTTTCTATGTGTTTCTGGCACTGATAATTTTTTGCTTCATATAAAATAGTTCGAATAATCAAACAAGGCATTGCTTTGATGATTGAAGTATGGCTAGCTATTAAAAAGGCAGATTTTTAAGTAGATGAACAGGTGGATCTGTGTCAACCATGTTCCAAGCTTGGTGAAATCCATTATTAGATACATTTTAAATGAGTCAAGATGATAAAGGCATCAGTTAATAGGCTTCTTGTCCATTATGTTTGTATCAGACATTGATATTTAATATACTTGAAAGGCACCTCTAGAATGATTATGCTATAATGACTGAATAACACCGATTTGGTTAGTGCTCCCATTTGCAACAACATATCTCAAATACTAACTCTAAGATCTCTGTTCTAAAATTTTGTACTAATATTTCAAGAAATTTGATTATACTCACCAAAGGGTATGTTTTCTTTTGTGTTAAATATGGGAGTCTAGTCTTCTATTAAAAAGGAAATTAATTTTATCAAAATGATTATCTCTAACTTTGTTAAAGGTTAAAGATAAAAGTAGCTAAGAAAAATCTAAATGTGACATTCTCTAAGTAATCAATTCAATTAACATGTTTAGTATTTCACTATTTTGAGGGAAAAAGGGAGACAACAGTTTTGAGATTGCAGAGTTATTTAAAGCAGATGAGAACAATTCAATTTTAAAAATTATATTGTGAGTAGAAAACTATCAACCTTTTTCTCTCGTTTAGCTATGTTGAAAAATGTTAAAATTATTTAAGATGTTTGAGCATGGAAAAATTTAACAAATTCCAATCCCAAAATTTATTTGAAATCAAGGCATAAAAGTTTGATGAATGTGAAAGATTCAAAACAACTATAGTTTCTTTATTGTCAACAAGACCTCTCAGTTTTTTCTATGATAGTATTTTGGCATCATGGAGATTTCTGACCAAATTGAAGAATTTTGTCTTCTTGGTTTTGTTTGGACTATATGTCTCTAGTATTATGGGTGAAATTTATGAATGTGGGATTTTGGGGTATTTTGCCTTAGTATTTGGGATGATATTTTGTTCAATTATATATTGTTAAACCAAAATGTTACCTGAATATAAATCATGAAAAGATTCCTTCCACCTTCCCCCTCCCCATGTTTTGAATTGAAATTTCATTTCATTTTTCCTGTCTCACCTTTCATTATGTCTGGAAACTTACTTGGTAGAAGAAAACTTGTCAGAAGGTGCAATGAGATGTAAGAAGCAAAAGGCCAATAAAATTGTTAATTCCTGAACAACTTAAGTTTCTTTAAATGTGAAAGATATTTATGTAGCTTTCTGTTCCATGTATTGACTGGAAGTTTCATGAATGGTTGTATGTTGTGTTGGGTTGTGCCTCATATGTTGGGGCAAACTTGACCTTACCTGAACACACACAGCAGGTTACAGTGTTGGATATTTTTCCTGTGATATTTGAAAGTATTCCTTAATTCCTTGCTTCCTTTCTTCTTGTACACTCATCTGTCACTAAGACTATTTTCCTTTTTTGGACCAAAAAAAAAAAAAAAAAAAAAACAAAGAACACTCCATAATCTTTTACCCTCCCAGTTTTTCACATTGTGCTTATCCTAGGTGAGATGTGACTGTGTAACAATGTAGCAACTTTTATTACAATGTAGCAAATGAAACAATAGCTATCCATTCTTTAATACCTGAACCAAGACCAGTCCATTTGCCTAATACTTAAAATATTTACTCCTTACTTTTAAATATTACACTGGACTGTCTGCAAGACACTGTTGTAATCTTACTGATTTATTTCAGCAGATTTGCAGTAGCTAAACAGCTTTACTTAGATTCTCCTAAAAACTTTCTATGTATAGTCTCAACTTTGTGGATATAGTTTCTCAAACTTTTTAACAGTTTTCTTTAATTCTGATTAATTAAAATGTACTTTGACATTTTTTAAAAACTTCTGGGTCCTGTATTTTTGTTTCTAAACATGGTAACATTCTTCCCAAACTCTGGTAGGTTGGCTTCTCTCTTTCTTTTCCCCATCACTTCTGTAGCCATGATTTCTTGTGTGAGCATTTTGGATAGTGCCTCTGTGATGTTGTATCCCTAGGGAAGGTGGTGTCGCAAAAAATGTTAGATAACTTATCTCCATACGCATAGTGTCTCTTACATAATGTATAGTTAGGAATATGTTAACTTTTGCAGTGGTCTTAAAAGTGTTGATCAATGATTCTTTATAAAGATTATAAGCTCAAAATAGGAGAGATAAAAACATGGTATGCAAATTATTTTTTTAATGAAGTAAATTATATTGGATTATTTTTATCCAAATACTTTGAAGTAAATTATTTTTTGATGTTGCTGCTGTATATCAAATAAAATCAACATTTGTGTAAGTATTTTGGATGACTTAGCTGTCAGCCTCATCTTTTGATCCTTCAAAACTGTTTTATCTCTTTTGCACCTCATCAGATATGTGAAATACTTTATCCATCTGGGACTAAGTCAAGGACAATTTTTAGGCTGGTTTTCATTGTGTTGCTTCTTTGAGCCTGACTTGATGGGGAAATGTATCAATAATGGGTCCAATGTAGAAATAAACACTGATTTTTAAATAAGGGAAGTTTAATGTAAAAAGTTTATGATAAAAGGAATACAGTATAAGAAAAAAATTGGTACCCAAGAGTTGAGGGGGACAGTACTCAATGAGAAACAATCTTGGAAGAGGGCATAGTTCAGGTCTTACTGAAATGTAGGGGTGACGGATACTGGATACTGTATAGCATACTGAGTAGCAGAGATGTTTACTGGTGTACTGAGACCAGACTTGGTCTTTAGTCACTAGGCAAACGGGGAGCCACGTATAAGGTTCTGGGAACCTGCAGCTGGTCACTGGGTATGTCAGCATACAGAGGGCGTGGCAAGCACCAGTGCTGGCTGAATACCTGGTTGTCATGCGGAAGGTTGTAGTATGATCACCAACTTGGCCAGGTTTGTGAGTTTTCAGCAGAGAACCACACATTCCGGCATTGTGACTGGGGCAGGACCCCATTGAGTGTTTTCTTCCCCACATTTTTCATTAATGGTGTAGCTGCCAGACAGCAGCAGGAGAGCCTCTTCTGGATGAATCTGGAACTGAGAGACCATAAATTAACTGGCACAGAAACTGATCAGGTTCTTTGGAAGAGAACAAGGGAAATGCAAAATGCCTCACTTGGTTACCTGTTTTGCAATTTTATAACCTGTTTAAAAGCTGGGCATAAAGTAAAATAGCAAAAATACTAGTGCCAATATCTTTTAAAATCTAGTGAATTTGATAAGTTTGCTACAGAACATAGTCTGAACTATTAACCTGGTACTATTTTAAGAATTGTACATGAATGGTTCAGTCAGAATATCAGAGATAGAATAGAGTGCATCCTTTATTTTTCATCATATCTGAATGTTACCTGCAGGAGTTCCCTGCAGTTAGAACACTGTTTTGTAGTATATTTTTACTTTAGTTAAACCATAATTTGCTTTTTTCTATCTTTCATATATTGTTTTCGTAAAATGTTGCCTTTGATTCACATGTATATGTCAAACTTCCTAATACTAAAACTAACAAAAGTAATGCTTTCTTGCCTTTCCGACTGTTTCTAGTTTCTAAGTGATTTCTTTGGATAGAGTTTCTTCATTATTGTTCACTTTTCTGATTGTTGTCTAGTTTCTTTAAATATCTGTATTTTACAAATAATCCAGAACTCTGCTTAACAGAAAAAAAAAAATTGACAAGTGACATAGTAATTTTAGATGCATTAACAATGATTTGATATATAATGAGATGATTACAATCCATCTACTTAATTTTTTCTCACTGCCACTTGTAGCTTTTTTTCCCCTTTTAATGAGATATAATTGGCAAAATTGTAAAATATTTCAAGTGTACATCATGATGATTTGATATATATGCACATTGTGAAGGGATTTCCCCCCCATCTAGTTAACATATCAATCACCTCATTTTTTTAAAAATGTTGTCCAGACACCCAAGATACTTGGAGTACAACGGCAGTCTGCCTTTGATTCTTTTACAAATATTCCATCAACTGCCATTTATTTGGCTCCTGTTACTGAGTGAGATGTGCATGGAGGTGTGTGGAGGACTGAGTCATGTAGGGCTGGGAGAGCTGATGAGATATAAGAGGGAATGATTATCATAAGGAACTGAATATTAGAAATAATCTAAGTGGACACAGTTACTTTGCAACCAGTAAGTATTGTTTTCAGGGAAATGAAGATGGAGCAACCGCTATCAAGGACAAAAAACGGAGCAGTAAAGTGGCCTGGGAAAAATCAGGGATGATTACTGGTTTGCTCACACCAGAGTTGGTCTTAGTCACTTAAGGCAAGTAGGGAGCCGCCCTTCAAGGTGCTGGAAAACTGCAGCTGTTCACTGGGAATACTTGAGTTGATTTAGTTTGCCAACAAAGAGATTGGCTGGAAGAGCATGCCGGGCAGAGGGTAATACGTGCATAGACTAGTAGAAAAGTCTGATAATTTATTGACTCAGTATGTTGTCTTTTGTACTAAGAAGAAACCTGTGCTTCACTATCAGATTTGGATTTTGATCCCAACATTTATTAGCTGTACCACTGGTTTATTAGCTGTACCACAGCTACATTGCAGTACTGTTTCGATGATTAAATGAGATAAATTATGCTTGGTTAATAAATCTGGTTGGGAGAAGTACATAAGAATAAGATCTAGGCTGGCTTCTACCCTTGTGCCTCCCCATTCTGTCCACACTAGCAAGAATTGTCTTTTAAAAGCATAACTGATGATGTTGCATCTCTTATCAAAATTTCCAGTGGCTCCTCTTCCTAACAGTTTAAAACCAGCTATGTGGTAACATTTTATTAGAAGTTAAAGCAGAGGGGCCTCCCTGGTGGTGCAAGGGGTTAAGCACCGCACTATGAAGCAGTCCTAGCCTTCGCAGCACGGGTTTGATCCTGGTCGGCCAAGGAGGAACCCACATGGCTAAGCAGACCTCTCCTGTCTCGCCCGCTGCTCCCCTCAGCAGTGTATTTCAGTTAGTCTGCCTGTTTTGCTCCCTACTCTGTCTCTATCTCTGGTCTGTATCCCAGCTTTTGTGTGCATAAATTAAATTTAAAAAAAAAAAAAAGTTAAAGCAGAATCAATAGTCTTAAAAAAGAGCAAAGTGTAGGAAATATTTCCCAAATTTTTGCTATTCTTGTTCTTTATGTGTGTGGTTTTTTAAATCAGGTTTCTTAAGAGAGTCTAACATTTAAATACCATCTTCCCCTGTTAGTTGGGGGTACTCTGGGAAATTGAATCTTTTAAGTTTCCATTTATAAACAGGTAATAATAACTGTCTCACATAGTCGTAATGACTAAGTAAGTTAAAGTATTTATTTAGCACAGTTCCTCACAATAAGTACCCAGAGTTAGATATTACTGGTCAATACAATTATATCAGTACATATATATATTTAAATATTTATTTATACAAGAATCAGGGTACAGGCCAGATGCACGGGAGGGTGAGAGGATTCACCAGAGACAGAGTGGGAAACAGAACATGCAGACTGACTGAAATACACTGCTGAGGAGAGCAGCAGGTGAGTCAGGAGAGGTCTGCTGCACCATGTGGGTTGCTCCCTGGCTGGCCGGGATCGAACTCATGCTACAGAGGCTGCAGATTGCTTTATAGTGTGATGCTTAACCCCTTGCGCCATCAGGGAGGCCCTACATTAATTCTTGTATTCAAAATTTCAACTGATTATAATTTGTGCCACTTAGCTGCCTCTGAATATTTTGTGGAGTTACAAGTCAGCGTTAGTAAGGACTGTTTATAAAATTTTTCCCACAAGAGGGCACTGTCTGTTATGACAGTTACAAGATTAAGAAACTGCAGGATTAGTCCACACCTTTTAATCTTGGTTTTGAGCTCAGTCCCTGGCATTCATTCTCCAGTTACAGCTCTTGAAGACTGTTGGAATATGTTAAGAAATGCTCATCCTTTTTCTTCATCTCCCTTTGCACATCAAGGTATAACTTTTGAGATTGGAGAAACATCTTTTTTTCCATTCTGTAAACCAGGTATATACTGTTTAGACTTAAGACATTGTACTTGAGACCTTAATTCTCTCCCTTGAGCACGCTTCAGCCCCACAGTCCCTGTGAGACCTCTAACGCACTAGCACATGTTGGGGCTTTTCCTTGTCACCCTCCCTGAGAGAGTTTGAGCCTTGGCCCGTGCTTTTGCAATTATAAAGGTGTAGCTCTTGAAAGAGTATGTGAGGTCTTCAGAAAAGCATAGTCTTGACCTGGTGAGATAGAAGTTTCAAGAGAAGTACCCTCATTACAACTACTCATTGCTGCCCCTTCCTTCATATATGATTAAAGCAAGTTTATCCGATAGACTAACAAGTTTATCTGGAAAGCTACAACATCCTCAACTTCTCTTATTATTTATGTCAGAGAAAAGAGAAGATGTAAGGCAAGGGAAAAGGAAAGGCAGAAAAAGCAACAAAAGGTGAAACGCAAACTGACATCAGTGTTTTGAACTAACATCCTCTTTAGATGATTTTTTTCATGGATTAGCAGGACCCTCAGATTTCTTCCTAGTGACCATGCCTACAAAGACAGGAGCTGGTAAATACCCACAATTTAAGTCTCCATGTCATATTTAATGCATACAGTGGGATGTCAATATCAGGAACCCAGCTACTGTGTCATGTCTACTTAGCTGTTGCCACAAAGGAGAGCCCCCAAACATGAAAGGTAAAGAATGGAGAATGGATGAGGAGTAGAGTGGAGGATCTGCCAGATGAGTGCAATATTGGGGGCTCTCTAATGCCCAGTGGGGACAGAAAAAGGGTTGCCCTTTTGAGTCATCTCTGTAGGATCCTGAATTGTAAAACAGAGCTAAAGTTCCTTTTGTACAGTTATAGGTTCTAGAAATTTTTAGATGTCATAAGCACATATTTTTTTGTAACATTCCCTATGATCTCATGTCAGCATAAAATGAAAATGTTCAAACTCTCAGCATCAACTGTGTAGCATGAGCCTCTGTGGTTATTGGAAGGCCTCACTTGTCAAGGAGGACAAACTAGGGCTTTAGCTTACTAATTTGAAGAGGATCTTGTCCAAACATTCTGCCCTCATAAGGGGCCAAAATAGGCGTGCTCTTAATGTTGATGGAGTTGAAATAAGAGGTGCATATATAGACTAAGAGGTATCTCAAGAATTATTGACGTAACTAAAAGCAACCTCTGATTCTGCTGGAACTAGATTATAAATAGTCTAGTAAATATAGTAATCCTTTTAATAAAGCAGGATCCACCCTACCTGGAAGAGAAGACAACAAATGGTGATTAACTGATTCTCAATGTACACTTTCCTGAATGATCTTGGGTTGTAAGTTTGGGGGTGGAGAGAATGATCTGGAGAAATGTGATAAACTATGACCTACAGGTCAAGTCTGACCTGCTGCTGGTTTCTGGATAGTCCACAAACTAAGAATTTTTACTTTTAAAAGATGATTGAATACAATTGATAAGATGGCTAATATTTCATGACAAAAATAAAAGAATGCAATCTAACACTGTTACACTAAGCACTGATCACAATATTTCCAACTCAGAAAAGCCACAATTAATTTAGAAAGAAACTGTAAATCATCACAGCAGAATTTCTTCATAAAAATAAAACAGCCTGAAACCACAGTAAATTTGAATGGGTTATTTATTAGCCAAATAAGAAAAGCTGTTTGCAAATAGTGGGTTAATTAACTTGTGATTAACTGTAGCACTGTAGGAATGTGTCCATAGGAAAAAAACTTAAGTTTAAGATTGTTAGCCTTTTGCAGAGAATAGTTGATGATATGGAAGAAATATCAAGTCAATTAAAAATCAGTGCAAATTATCTCAATGAATTCTCATGACTCTTGATGAGCCCAAAAGATATTACTGATACTACTATATTGCTTTTTATGCCAAGTTTAGAGTAATAAAAGAACTGGCCCCTGTGAAGAGTCTGCATGTTGCAACTTAAGGAGAAATATATCAAAGAAGCTAAGAAAAATTGATCGGTTCATGAAGGGGAATATGCTAAGAAGGTGTTAACAACTTACTAATAAAAATGAGTGATGCAAAAAAAAAAGTTGAGTCGTACAAATTTGCAAATCTTGTGAAACACATGATGTTTAAAACTTACACATATTTACCAGGAGCTTGGCAGAAAATATTTGATAGATCCTTTTTCCTAGAGACTTCTGAACATGGAAACAAACAGCATCAACAACGAATGGTCAATTAGTAAACATAAAATTTTAAAGCCTAACTATCCCAAACTTTTAAACAATGATTATAAATTAACTGATAAAATTCCTTGAAGTTATTTAAACTGCAGTTTCAAACTAGTGGATTAGCTTGGC